TAATAATAATAATAATAATAATAATAATAATAATAAACAAAGAGAAAGGATTGATGTACACAAAGTGCTTACATTTGGATGGCTTGGATTTGATTATGCAGGTGGAACAAACACTTTGAAAACTAAGGCACTCCAGAGTATATGATTTATTGATTAGTAAGTTACAATTTCCTGCTTGTAACTTCATACAAGCAGGAAATTGCAATCATATTTGTGTTTACATGGAGGTAAGTCCCACTGATTTTCATGGAATTTGTTTCCTAATAAAGGATTACGACCCAAACTTGTCTCTTTTGGGTTGGCTGTAAAAATCCCTTTCTTTTCTCCACCAACTCTCTCAAGAGAGAAAGAATTAATTTTCCTGATGCATGATTTGGTAACTTTGACGAACATGAACACTCTTGCTTCTCTTTCCCCTTCTGTTTCTGCAGGCGACAGCAATGTCTGTGGACTGTCTTGGGCAGCATGCCGTGCTTTCTGGGTGAGTGCCAAAGTCTTTGAGATCGAATTGCAGTTGATGCTGGCAGCTGCGGGGAGAGTCCTTGACGGTGGATGTTGGAGGGCAGAAGCAAGGCTCTCCCGGCGCTGCCTTAAGGATCCTCCTCCACATTCCCAGGGCTTTTCATTCTCAGGAGGACAGAAGAGGAGACACACGAGCTCAGGCACAAATGTATAGAGAGGCTTTCTCCTTCTCAGTGGCACGCAATGGCCCATCTAGTCCAGTGTGCAGTTTTCAAAACCCTCCAGCGCAACCTGAAGCCAACTGCCCTTCTTGCCTATTAGTTGCCAGGGTTTGCAGCTTTTGAACATTGAGGTTCTATTATGGAGTTCTCATGGCTAATAGCCTTTGGGAAGGTTCCCGCTCTCTGCTTTGTCCTGTGTTTTTTTCAAAAGCAGAGGCAATCAATCCCATAATAATAATAATAATAATAATAATAATAATAATAATAATAATAATATCGTATATACTCAAATATAAGCCGAGTTTTTTAGCCCTTTTTAGGGGCTGAAAAATCTGCCCTCGGTTATATTCGAGCCAAGCAGCGGCCAGAAAGAAAGGAAAGAAGGGAGATTGAAAGGAGGAAGCGAGGGAGGAGAAACAGAGGAAAGGATGGAGGGAGGGAAGGAAGAAGGTAGGAAGGGGTTGAGGAAGTGAAGGAGGGAGGAAGGAAAAAGAAGTTAGGAAAAGAAGGGAGGGAAGTAAGGAAAGAAGGGGAAGGGAAGGAGGAAGCCAGATAGCCCTTGGTCTAGATGTTCTTTAGCAGTCCCTTCCAACTCTGATATTATTATTATTTTAAACATTATTAAGCCTGGGTGGACATAATCTGTTGGAGATGCTTTAATTGTGCTTTTCCTGCATGAAGGCAGAAGGAAGGTGGTTGGACCAGATGATCCCTTCCAACTCTGTTATTATTATTATTATTATTTTTAATATTATTAAGCCTATGTTGGAAGCCACCCTGAGTCCCCATGGGGAGATAGGACAGAGTACAAATAAATTATTATTGTTACTACTATTATTCTTAAGTTATTGTTGATACCATGCTGTTTTTGTTGACTCTCCTTTTCCACTTAAAGAGCTAGTTTACTGTTTTTCTTTGAAATACAGTAAATATTCAAAAACTGTTAACCTACTGATGTCACCATTAATGTAATTTTATTGGTACCTATTTTTATTTTTGAAATTTACCATTAGCTGCTTTATTTTCCACCCCGGCTTATACTTGAGTCAATAAGTTTTCCCAATTTCTTGTGGTAAAATTAGGTCCTCGGCTTATATTCGGGTCGGCTTATACTCAAGTATATACGGTAATAATAATAATAATAATAATATTATAATAATCTTTATTTAATACCCCGCCACCTTCTCTCCAATGGGGACTCGGGGCGGCTTACATGAGGCCAAGCCCAACAGCACATTACAATAAAGTAAAACCAAAACACAATAACAACACGGTAAAATACATACAACATATGAGTACAAAAACAATAAAGCAAAATCATACACAGCAAAATAAAATAACATAACAATTATGCAGCATAGCAAGAAGTACCTCCTTTTATTTATGCTGAACCCTATGTTGTCTTTGTGGGTCCCACACCCCCCCCCCCCTTTTTTTAAAGGCTTCAGATTGTGGGGAAAATTCTTGGAGCAGAACCTCATCATTTTGGATTTCAGATCCAAAATTAAAAAGTATTATTCATTATTTATTTATTTACAGCATTTATATGCCGCCCCTCTCACTCCGAGCTTACAATATATATTTACATACAATATATTATATTATTATTAGCATAGTACAATATCAGTATTATGTATTACTGACTTGTGGTGGCAAGACTTGGCCTTTCATTTCACACACCCCTCCTCTTCTGCACAGCTCTTGCCTGTCTTATCAGGGATCCCTTCATGCGTGCCTTTTGCTTTGTTCCTCTAGTGACCTTCTACTTTTGTTGGTCTGATCATCTGATGTCCTTGAGCCGATATTTTCCAAAGTCTTAGCTATTTGCTTTCCCTATCAGCTACAAAAAACCCAATGCAGACATTCATCGCCTGCAAGAAACTGGAGTTTGGGATCACATCATACTTTGCATAATGTGTTTGTACTGGGGATTTTTTTTTTAATTAACACTCTTTTATCTCACACTCTTGGCCACTGTGTCAGGGACATGCATATCCTGGGATTTCTAAAGATGATGGTGTCCTTGTTATTTATTTATACCCCACCTTTCCTTCATTATTAGAACTCATATTACATTAGGACAAATTACAAATGTATAAAAAGAATCAGCAGAAATGCAAAACATTCTTGTGGAAATAATTATATATGGAATTCAGACAATTTTTATATATTTTATTTATTTATTTGCAACATTTATATGCCGCCCTTCTTATCCTGAAGCGGACTCAGAGCTGCTTACCAGATATATATATATGTGTGTGTGTGTGTGTGTGTGTGTGGAATAAATTATACCATTAGTACGGTACAGTATCAGCGCTATACATCACTATATTGTACTATACAATTATATTATAATATTATTAGTAATATTACATGTAATATAAAATATATAATTATAATATCATATCATTATTATTAGTATTATACTGTATTACATAATATTATAAATATTATATGTATATATATATTATATTGTATTGTATTATATATTAGCTTAGCACAGGAGACAAGGTGGAACTGTCCCCTGACCTCCCCTGTCTTCAATTAATTAAAAACAGTTAAAAGGCATAGTGCAAAAACAATACAGCCTTAAACACCTGTTGCAATACTTCCGCAAAAGCCTGTCAGAATAGGAAAGTTTTCATTTACTCCTTGATGTGTTATATGTGTGCAGGGTTTTAAGATAGTGGTGAGAGGAGTACTTAGCCCAGGTATGGGTAAACCCAAGCTCAGGGGCCAGATGCACTTCTTGGGCTCTTTTCTCAGGCCCTTCTCTCTTCACACTATCCTTCCTTTCTTCTCTTTCCTTCCTCCTTTCCTCCCTTCTTTCCCTCCCTCTTTCTCCCTCCCCCTCCTTCTTTCCCTTTCATCCTTCCTTCCCTCTTTCCTCCCTCCTTCCCTCTCTCTTTCTCCTTCCTTCCTTCCCTTTTGTTTTTCCTTCCTCCATTCACTTTCATCCATCCATTCCTTCCTTCCCTCTCTTTTTCCTCCTGAGGGATGTTTACCTGGGAGAAGAGAATGTAGAGATGGAACATATTTTTTGTTGGGAGGCTTCTCTTGTGGGAGGCTTATCTCTTGTCCCCGCATGGAGAGCTGGAGCTGATGGAGGGAGCTCATCCGCGCTCTCCCCGGATTCAAACTTGCAACCTGTCAGTCTTCAGTCCTGCCGGCACAGGGGTTTAATTCACTCTGCCACTGGAACCATGAGAACCATGATTCGAGATTAACAAGGGTGTCCCATTTGGGGGGCGGGGGGTTGACTTTCTGCTCTCTAGAGATCAGGACACAAGGCAGTAGTGGGTTCAAATAGCAGGGAAAGAGATTTGACTGAAAAGATGAGGAAGAACTTCAAGAGTAAGAGCTGTTGGAAAGTGGCCTAGGCTGCCTGGAAGTGTGACCGCATCTTCCTCTCTAGAGGCTTTTCCGCAGAGGCTGTCTATCGGGAGTGCTTTGATTGTGCCTTCCTGCGTGGCAGGGGATTGGTCTGAACGGCCCTTGGGGGTCTCATTGACCTCAAGGACTCTATATCAGGAGTAGGCAATACGGGGTCTCATGGATACAGTTTTTCTCTCCCGTCCACCATCTCCTCCTGACCAGGGCCAATTTATTTATGTATTTCATATATTTATATCCTGTCATAGAATCAAAGAGTTGGAAGAGACCTCCTGGGCCATCCAGTCCAACCCCCTGCCAAGAAGCAGGAATATTGCATTCAAATCACCCCTGACAGATGGCCATCCAGCCTCTGTTTAAAAGCTTCCAAAGAAGGAGCCTCCACCACACTCCAGGGCAGAGAGTTCCACTGCTGAACAGCTCTCACAGTCAGGAAGTTCTTCCTTATGTTGTCCTTCTCTTCACAAGGAGGACTCAGCGTGGCCTCACATGAGCATCAGAGGATGCCAACAGCATAAATACCATAAAAATTACAATTCACAATAAAATCATTTTAAAACATTATACAACATCATCAGTAAAATTTAACTATAAATTAACAGATTAACGTGCCAGTAAAACCAAGCCGAGCTGGGAGAATCCATGGCACAAAATCCAAATTTCCTTTTCCTATTGCTGCTGGCCTCTAATTGAACGCCTGGCCCCAGAGCCAGGTCTTCAGTTGTCTTCTAAAGGACAGGAGGGAGGTGGCCAATCTGATGTCCTTAGGGAAAGAGTTCCACAGATGGGGGGCCACAGCCAAGAAGGCCCTGTCTCTCGTCTCTCGTTTGCGAGAGTGGTGGGATCAAGAGCAGGGCCTCTCCTGATGATCTTAAGCTTCGTGACGGTTCATAGCAGGAGATACATCATTCAGACAGGTAATCTGGGCCAGAACCATTCAGGACTTCAAGGTTAAAACCAGCACTTTGAATTGTGCCCGGAAGCTAATCGGCAGCCAGTGGAGCTGGCGCAACAGAGGAGTGGTACGCTCCCTGTATGCAGCTCCAGTTAACAACCTGGCCGCCAACCGCTGGACTAATTGGAGCTTCCGAGAAGTTTTCAAAGGCAGGCCCACGTAGAGAGTGTTGCAGTAGTCTATTCGGGATGTAACCAGAGTGTGCCCCACCGTGGCCAAGTCAGACTTCCCAAGGAACGGGCGCAGTTGGCGCACAAGCTTTAATTGTGCAAAAGCTCTCCCGGCCACCGCCGAGAGCTAGGGTTCCAGGCTCAGCGATGAGTCCAGGATCACTCCCAAACTGCAAACCTGTGTCTTCAGGGGGATTGTAACCCCATCTAACACAGGCTGTAACCCTATGCCCCGTTCGGCCTTGCGACTGACCAGGAGGGCCTCTGTCTTATCTGGATTTTGGGATCCAAACATCTCCCCTCTTTCCTTCACTTTCTGCCTCCAAAAGAAGATAAAAGGACAGGGAGTGGGCTTTGGAAGAACCCCCTCTTTTTTGCCCACCCACCATGTTTTGCTCCACCATGCGACCCCCAGGTTAGAAAGTTTGCCCATGCCTGATTTAGCCCAAAGAGCACCAACAGCAGTGTGCAGTGTGGAAGTCCAAAGCCACATCCCCATCCTCCTCTGCCTTTTACTGGGAGGTGTTACTGGAAGGTCAAAGTGTTCTGACTTGTAGGATATTTGGTAAGCATTTCTCAGCTTCTTGCGAAGCCTTCCATGAAGATGTGCCTAGCGTCCCTGTCTGGCAACCTCTCACTGGTGCAATGTCAGGTGCTGTGCTGGAACGTGGTGTCCTCAAGGATTTGGCAGCCTGGGCTTTCTCTCAGTCTATCCAGTGAACCAGGCCTTCCAGGAGCTTGACGTCCGACTGGCTTGTTTTGCCGTAGTCTGGCCCAGAATGCTTCACGTGGGATTTTCCTACTGCTGCAGCATTTATCAAAAGCAAAATTAATGTTGTCTTATTTTACTTAGTGTCCCCCTCACCCTTTTACTGCCTTAAGATACTGAGCAGCACCTACAGTATACCATTCGATTCCATCAGCTAGCCAGAAATAAGTAAAGCTTGGACCATTTGGATCTTATATGGAAACATTTTTAATCCAGTTATTGCTGGGAGATACTCTAGTATTAAAATATTGCTGATATTTTCTCTGACTCAGAATCTATATAAATAAAAATGTAATGCTTGTTTGTGGGATTAACTCAAAAACCACTGGACAAATTGACACCAAATTTGGACACAATACAGGGTTAGTCAAAATGAATAGGCCAATAAGAAAATTAATTTTAGACGAATGTATGTTTACTGTAACCAAACCACAGCTACGTAGCGACAGATAAACTATCAAAGTTTTTTTTGAGCAACACACATGTACGTTAATGCCGCTAGGGGTCGCTGTTTTCAAAATGGCGGAATCAAGGAAAGAGAAGGCGTTTTGTGTGATGACATTTGCTAAAACAATGTCAGTAATTACGGTCCAGCGAGAATTTCAAGGGTTAGGGTTAGGGGTAGGGTTAGGGTTAGGGATAGGGTTAGGGGTAGGGTTAGGGGTAGGGTTAGGGTTAGGGTTAGGGTTAGGGTTAGGACCTCAACGAACACCTTCCCAGACGTTGCTGCATTCGATGCCGTTACGTCGGATGTGCTGCAACGGATGTGGAATGAACTGGACTATCGCTTGGACATCTGCCGTGTCACACGGGGCGCCCATATCGAACATCTCTGAAGGTGAGACAAAACTTTGATAGTTTATCTGTCGCTACGTAGCTGTGGTTTGGTTACAGTAAACATACATTTGTCTAAAATTAATTTTCTTATTGGCCTATTCATTTTGACTAACCCTGTACATCTATCAGGCCAATGAGTAACCATCACTCCTAAACACACACACTCAAAACCCCAGCGGAACAGACTTAAAACCCCCCAAAATACATAATATATACATATAGACATACACTTATATACATATACACATGCACACAATCATACACACACACACGTATATGCACACATACAAATATACATATACATACACACATGCACACATACATATATACATATACACACACGTGTATATATATGCACACACACAAATATACACATACACACATGCACACATACATATATATATATATACATGCACACACATACACACATGTACACAAAAATATGCATATAGGCAAGCACACTAATATACACAATATGCATGAACACAAACATACAAATACACAAATATATACACCCATATATATACGTATATACACACAAACACACATATATACACAAATATATACACACACAAAACACATATACACCGACTGGGCCACAGCAACATATGGCAGGGGATGGCTAGTAATTGATATTTCGCTGGAATAGAAGAACTCAATGAGTTTTTGTTGCACGAGGGCCCTGGAGCCTCTTTTCACCACAAACCAAGCACTGTCCAGTTGTTGTTGTTGTTGTTTTTGTCGTGTCAGGCGCGACTTGAGAAGCTGCAAGTCGCTTCTGTGAGAGAATTGGCCGTCTGCAAGGACGTTGCCCAGGGGACGCCCGGATGATTTGATGTTTTTATCATCCTTGTGGGAGGCTTCTCTCATGTCCCCGCATGAGGAGTTGGAGCTGATAGAGGGAGCTCATCCACCTCTCCCCGGATTCGAACCTGCGACCTGTCGGTCTTCAGTCCTGCCAGCACAGGGGTTTAACTAGTTGATCTGATGCAAGATTTTATTAAAAACAGAGTATAATAAAACTTAATATATGAAAAGCAAGCAAATATAAAAAAAAGGGAATCAGAGTTCAAAAAGTTATTTCCATAAAAGCCAACGGTGCAAAAATCCATTCAATGAAAGTCTCTGAAGCAATTCCACTGAAATATTCCAAGACAAGATACATGAAACACAGTCAGGCCAAACTATGTCTTACAAGTCCAGAACACAGGAACAGCTTGAAACCCGGAATACATGAATCCGAGAGCTCTCCACCTGAATGCAGCATTGTTCTCACAAAGATTATCACAGCATGAACCACTTTTTAAAAGGCAGGAACCCTCCCATGAGATCGTTTCTCTTGCACCTGCTTATCTCTAAGTGGCTTGTATGTTATTATCATTATGTTAGGTTTCTATATGTGAGACATTAAATTTTGCCATATTTATTTATTTATTTATTATTTGGGGTGCTTCTACCCCGCCCTTCTCAACCCCCTGGGGGGGGGGGGACTCAGGGCGGCTTACAAAAGGCACAATTCGATGCCCAACAATTCACAAAATACAATACACAAATTTACCATATAATGTCAACAGTTATAACTAGTTAAAACCATCAAAAACAGTACAATCGCAGCAATAAAATCATCTTGTGGTCAATGTTCGCCGATTTATAATTCCATAAACCATCCAGCATTGTCATTGTCCTTTCCTACTCTGGTCGTCATTGTCTTTGTCCATATGCCAGCTTACCCGAAGGCCTGGTCCCACATCCCGGTTTTTAGCTTCCTTCCGAAAGAGGAGGGATGTTGATGACCTAATCTCCCTGGGGAGTGCATTCCACAGGTGAGGGGCCACCACCGAGAAGGCCCTGTCCCTCGTCCCCACCAGTCTCACTTGTGATAAAGGGGCCGAGAGCAGGGCCTCCCCAGCAGATCTTAAACTCCGAGGTGGGACGTAGAAGGAGATACGTTCGGACAGGTACGCTGGGCCTTTATGTTGGAAACCGCTTTTAGTCCCCTGCTGGGGTGAGAAAAGCGGTATACAAGTGAAGTAAATAAATAATAAATTGAGAAGCGAGTCTGTCTTTTTTTGCCCTGTTTTCTCTTTGACATCGACAAGGTTGTTAATGTATCTTCCAGCAATTTTAACCCCAGCCTCCTGTATATATTAAACTACAGAATATATGGAATGTAGTGGTTGGAATATTTTTGGTGATAAACACAGGCTGGTTCGATTCTAGAGTGATATATTTCCATACTTGTCTCTCAGGCGCCGATTCCTCTACATTGTTAACCTGGACTCTCCCTCCAACGGGCACCGCAAGATCTCCCGCCAGAGCAAGTGGGACATCGGAGCAGTGCAGTGGAACCCACACGAGAGCCACGCACACTACTTTGCTGCTTCGGTATGACTCTTGTTGACCATGCATTTTCTCCCCAGCTGGATCCCAGCAGTGCAGCATCACCATCCGAGTGATGTATGGGCAGGGGGGTATCTTGGCGGAAAGTACTATGAACAAAAAGGGCCAACATTGGGAAACAGGGCTACCTTATTAGTCAAAGCTACAATAATCCCCAAATCCAACCTGCTTTTCCTGTTTCCTAGTCTGGAGAAGCAAAGGAGAAACACACAGCTGTTTTTCTGATTTTATTTATTTATTTGTCGTGTCAGAGCAGCCGGTCCATTATATTACATTTCTAACAGAACAAAGCAAACAAACAGCATTTGTGAGTTTGGTAGCTGGTTAAATGTCCTTTGACCAGTATCTGTCCACTTGGAGTGCTTCTGGTGTTGCTGCAAGAAGGTCCTCCATTGTGCATGTGGCAGGGCTCAGGTTGCATTGCAGCAGGTGGTCAGTGGTTTGCTCTTCTCCACACTCGCATGTCGAGGATTCCACTTTGTAGCCCCATTTCTGAAGGTTGGCTCTGCATCTCGTGGTGCCAGAGCACAGTCTGTTCAGTGCCTTCCAAGTCGCCCAGTCTTCTGTGTGCCCAGGGGGAGTCTCTCATTTGGTATCAGCCATTGGTTGAGGTGCTGGGTTTGAGCCTGCCACTTTTGGACTCTCGCTTGCTGAGGTGTTCCAGCGAGTGTCTCTGTAGATCTTAGAAAACTATGTCTAGATTTAAGTCGTTGGCGTGCTGGCTGATACCCAAACAGGGGATGAGCTGGAGATGTCTCTGCCTTGGTCCTTTCACTATTGGCTGCTACTTCCCGCCGGCTGTCAGGTGGTGCAATACCGGCTAAGCAGTGTAATTTCTCCAGTGGTGTAGGGCGCAGACACCCCGTGATAATGCGGCATGTCTCATTAAGAGCCACATCCACTGTTTTAGTGTGGTGAGATGTGTTCCACACTGGGCATGCATACTCGGCAGCAGAGTAGCATAGCACAAGGGCAGATGTCTTCACTGTGTCTGGTTGTGATCCCCAGGTTGTGCCAGTCAGCTTTCGTATGATATTGTTTCTAGCACCCACTTTTTGCTTGATGTTCAGGCAGTGCTTCTTGTAGGTCAGAGCACGGTCCAGAGTGACTCCCAGGTATTTGGGTGCACTGCAATGCTCCAGTGGGATTCCTTCCCAGGTGATCTTCAGAGCTCGGGATGCTTGTCTGTTCTTGAGATGAAAGGCACATGTCTGTGTTTTAGATGGGTTAGGGATCAGCTGGTTTTCCCTGTAATAGGCAGTAAGAGCACCTAGAGCTTCGGAGAGCTTCTGTTCAACCATCTCAAAGCTCCCTGCTTGAGCAGTAATGGCACGATCATCAGCATAGATGAAACTCTCTGTCCCTTCTGGCAGTGGCTGGTCATTTGTGTAGATGTTGAACATGGATGGAGCAAGCACGCTCCCCTGAGAAAAACCCCCTGTTTTTCTGATGGAAAGCAACAAGGGGCCACTGCAATAATCAAGATTATGGGGAGTTTTTTTTCCTCCTCATTGGGTTTTAGAGCAAGGCCTTACCACCCCAGTTTTGAAGGATTAGGGAAACTCAAATTCTTGGCAGGAAATGTTGCTGCAAATGACTTTGTTGCATGTTTTGGTATCTCCCAATGCATTGTTTATATTTTCAGAGCAACCAGCGAGTGGATGTATATAAATGGAAAGATGGAAATGAAGAGGTTGGTACCTCCTTGCAGGGGCACACGCGTGTGATCAGGTAAGCCAGAGTTTCGCAACCTGGGGATTGGGACCCCTGGGGGGGGGTCGCGTGGGGATTTCAGCGAGGTCGCCAAAGACCATCAGAAAAATATATTGTACTAGCAGTCCCCTGCTACGCGTTGCTGTGGCCCTGTCTGTTGATCTGGAAAATAAAGTAATGAGAAAGTGTTGGTTTCTAATATATGTAATTTCTTTATGCTTGTGAGTAAACAGTATTTCTTGCTGTTTCTTTGTCAGTGTTGATGTGGAGATTGTTTGGTTTGCCTACTCTGGAACATGCAATATAGAATTGTCCTTCTTCAGGGGTCCTTTTCAAATCTATGGCACTATATCTGTGTGAGTGTGAATCATATCTATCTATCTATGGCTGGATGGCTCTTTGTCTTTGATTATGTGTTCTTGCCCTGGTGAAAGGATTTGGACTGGATGGCCTTGAGTATTTCTGTTGGTCATGGGGGGTTCCGTGTGAGAAGCTTGGGCAAATTCTGTTGCTGGTGGAGTTCAGAACACTCGTTGATTGTAGGTGAACTATAGATCCCAGTAACTACAACTTCCAAATGTCAAGGTCTAGTTCCCCCAAACTCCATCGGTGTACATATTTGGGGATATGGAATATTCATGCCAAGTTTGGTCCAGATCCATCATTGTTTGAGTCCATGGTAGTCTCTGGATGTAGGTGAACTACAACTCCCAAATTCAAGGTCAATGCTCACCAAACCCTTCTAGTGTTTTCTGTTGATCATGGGAGTCCTGTATGCCCCGGCTGGTTCAATTCTATCATGCTATTTGATTGTAGATGAACTATAAATCCCAACAACTACAACTCCCTATCTATTAGGGCTGGTTGATCAAGAAAAAATTTGGTTCTAAAATCGATTTGTAATTGGGGTGTTTTTTTGTTTCGATATTTAAAATAATTACAAAATTTTCCCAAAAAAAGTTTCGGTATTTACGAAATTTCGTAAATATTTACAAAACATTTTGTAAAGATGGCGGACCCCCGCGCATGCGCAAAAACACTTCCGAAGCTTCGTTATTGGCGCGGGGGTCGATTCGTTAAGGATATAACGAATCGATTCGTTAAAATGGCGGACGCTGCCTGGAAGGAAGGGACCCTTTTAGCCACGGAGCAGCAGAGGGGCGGGGAGGAGGCTGCTGGCAAAGAAGGCCTCAGCGGCGGCAGCTTCCCCCTCGCCCCTTTGCTCCTCCGTCCTCCTTCCTCCCCAAGCTGGGCGCCAGGCTTGGGAGCCCAGCCCGGGGAGGAAGGGAACCTTTAGCCACGGAGCAGCAGAGGGGCGGGGAGGAGGCTCCTGCCAAAGAGGGCCTCAGCCGTGGCAGCTTCTCCCTCGCCCCTCTGATGCTCCGTCCTCCTTCCTCCCCAAGCTGGGTGCCAGGTTTGGGAGCCCAGCCTGAGGAAGAAGGAAACTTTTAGCCACGGAGCAGCAGAAGGGCGAGGGGGAAGCTGCCGCCGCTGAGGCCCTCTTCGCCAGCAGCCTCCTCCTCGCCCTTCTGCTGCTCCGTGGCTAAAAATTCCCTTCCTTCCCGGGGCTGGGCTCCCAAGCCTGGCGCCCAGCCTGGGGAAGAAGGAGCACGGAGCAGCAAAGGGGCGAGGGGGAAGCTGCTGCCGCTGAGGGCGAGGAGGAGGCTACTGGCGAAGGGGGCCTCAGCGGCGGCAGCTTCCCCCTCGCCCCTTTGCTCCTCCGTCCTCCTTCTTCCCCAAGCTGGGCGCCACGGAGCACCCGGGGAGGAAGGGAACCTTTAGCCACGGAGCAGCAGAGGGGCGGGGAGGAGGCTCCTGCCAAAGAGGGCCTCAGCCTAAGGGCGAGCGCGCGCGGGCCGGCCAATCGGGAGCCGCGCTCGCGCCCAACAGGCAGGCGCGGGGCTTGGCTCACTGGGTGCGCGCTCGCGCCGCCCCTTCGCCCCTGCCCGCCCCATTTACGAAACGAGCGAAAGCTCGTTAAAACTGTGGGGGTTGCCGTTTCGATATTTAAAAACCCTTCCGGGTTTGAAAATATGGTTTGTTATCGTTTCGTAAATGCAAAAATTAACGAATGTTTAACGAATTACGAAATTAACGAACGAAACCGCACAGGCCTACAATCTATCTATCTATCTATCTATCTATCTATCTATCTATATCTATCTATGGCTGGATGGCTCTTTGTCAGGAGGGTTTGATTAAGTTATCTTCCCTGATGAAGGGAGTTGGATTGGATGGCCTTAAGTATTTTCTGTTGGTCATGGGGGTTCTGTGTGGGAAGTTTGCCCGATTCTGTCGTTTGTGGGGTTCAGAATGCTCTTTGATTGTAGGTGAACTGTGAATCCATGACTACAACTCCCAAATGTCAAGGTCTATTTCCCCCAAATGCCATCTGTATTCATATTTGGGCGTATTGAGTGATTGTGCCAAGTTTGGTCCAGATCCATCATTGTTTATGTCCATAGTGCTCTCTGAATGTAGGTGAACTACAACTCCCAAACTCAAGGACCATACCCACCAAACTCTTCCAGTATTTTCTGTTGGTCATGGGAATTCTGTGTGCCAAGTTTGGTTCAATTCTATCGTTGATGGAGTTTAGAATGCGCTTTGATTGTAGGTGAACTATAAATCCCAGCAACTACAACTCCCAAATGACAAAATCAACCCCACCAGTATTCAGTTTTGGGTGTTTCGGGTATTGGTGCCAAATTTGGTCCACTGAAGAAAAATACATCCTGCATATATATTTATATGAAGATTCATAACAGTAGCAGTTATGAAGTAGCAACGAAAATAAATTTATGGGTTGTAGGTTTTTTTCGGGCTATATGGCCGTGGTCTAGAGGCATTCTCTCCTGACGTCTCACCTGCATCTATGGCAGGCATCCTCAGAGGTATTGAGGTCTGTTGGAACTAGGAAAAGGGGTGTATATATCTGTGGAATGACCAGGGTGGGACAAAGGACTTTTGTCTGCTGGAGATAGGTGTGAATGTTTCAACTGACCACCTTGATTAGCATATAATGGCCTGACAGTGCCTAGAGCAAACTTTTGTTGAGAGGTGATTAGATGTCCTTGTTTGTTTCCTCTCTGTTGTTGTGCTGTTGTAATTTTAGAGTTTTTTAATACTGGTAGCCAGAATTTGTTCATTTTCATGGTTTCCTCCTTTCTGTTGAAACTGTTCTGTTGAATTGGAATTCCCAGGCCGTCTTCAAGGGCAGCCCCACATAGAGTGCATTACAGTAGTCCAATCTGGAGGTGACTAAGGCGTGGACCACCTGGCCAGATCCGACAACATACGGTTGCACCTTGTGCACGAGTCTAACACAACACTAACACAAGTTGTCCCTTTGGAGAGCAAAGAGCCCGGTGGCAGCAGGGCACAGGGATCGGCAAATAGGCTGAACAATTGGTTTTCTGGAAGGGCCCAGAATCTTTTAGTCATTGTCTTTTGTATTTGAGATACAATTTGTTTCCTCTTTATTTGTCCCTTCTCTAGCGATTTGGACTGGGCGGTGTTTGAACCAGATCTGCTGGTGACCAGTTCGGTCGACACATACATCTACATCTGGGATATCAAGTAAGAAAAGTGTCTCCCTATCAGATAACTTCTGTTTTCTTCTCTGCTGTGGGCGGTTATAGGATTTATATCACATAAGCAGGGTGGTGTTATCCAGTAGAACAGTGTTCCTCAACCTTGGGGTCGGGACCTGGGGGGGGGGGGGTCATGAGGACGTGTCAGAGGGGTCGCCAAAGACTATCCAAAACACAGTATTGGCCATGGGGTTTCCATGTGGGAAGTTTGGCCCAATTCTGTCCTTGGCAGGGTTCAGAATGCTCTTTGATTGTAGGTGAACTATAAATCACAGCAACTACAATTCCCAAATGTCAAGATATATTTCCCCCTGCGAAGGAGCTCGGGCCCTAAATTCGGCAAGGGAGGTCCCAGGAGAGAGAAGTTACGAATTTTTATTTATTATCCTTAATGGTGCCACCAATTTGATGATGTGAGGTAATTTTGGGAGATTGGGCACACTAAACGCAGAGTACTAATGGAGATGAGGCAGTTTTACAATCAAAGAGAACAAGTTTATTTTGAAACAAAGCGTATGGTTGCAGTTTGGTGATAAACTTGGAAAATACTTGGAGAACGTTACATATAACTTGGTTGCGATACAGTTCCGTCTTCTGATGTTACAACTTATAAATAACCTTTGCTGTGGTGAAGCACTTTATTAAACAATGGTTCCTGAGGTGAATAGTCTTCCTGTTTGACCCTTCCGTGATCAAACCTCAGATCTCTAGTTCACTTTTAACTAGTGATCTAAACGAGCTTCTATTAGTCTTCTCTAACTAATAAAACTAATAAGGTTTCCCCTTCAGCCTTCCCGAACTGAAGAAACCTCCGACTATTCACAACCACTGCTTCTCTACTTCCCACTCTCTCTCTCTCTCAACTCTTCACTTCCCTGAGCCTAAACCTAACTCTTCATTCCTCTGAGCCTCAACCCTGACTCTTCATGACTGTGCACTCTTCTTAGCCTAAACCCTAACTCTTCATTCCTCTGAGCATAAAACCTAACTAACTTTTTAACTGTCGCTTTTCAAAACTCCCTTCTCTAAGCTCCTCCCACTTCTCTACAGCATTGTTTCCATGGTAACACACTCCTCACAGCTAGGCCGCTCCAGCATTAGGGCAACCAGTGTAAACACAAATACAGTTATAATAATATCATTTACAATCAATACAGTTTATAATCATATCATTTACAATCAACTTCTGTACACCCCCAAACTCCATCCGTGTTCCTAGTTGGGCATATGGAATATTTGTGCCAAGTTTGGTCCAGGTCCATCATTGTTTGAGTCCACAGTGCTCTCTGGATGTAGGTGAACTACAACTCCCAAACTCAAGGTCAATGCCCACCAAACCCTTCTAGTGTTTTCTGTTGGTCATGGGAGTCCTGTGTGCCAAGATTGCTTCGATTCAATCATTGGTGGAGTTGAGAATGCTATTTGATTGTAGGTGAACTATAAATCCCAGCAAGTACAACTCCCAAATGACAAAATCTTTTTTTTAAGTGATGGTCACTCCTTGGGTGGGTAGTTGTCTTGTGGCCAAATTTGGTAGCAATTCGTCCAGTGTTCACATTTGGGCATCTTGAGTATTCGTGCCAAGTTTGGTCCAGATCCATCATTGTTTGAGTCCACAGTGCTCTCTGGATGGAGGTGAACTACAACTCCAAACTTCACCCCAAAGGAGATTAATCAGAGAATGCAAGCTGTTTCTGGTGATTGTGTTGATGTGGATACTGTGCGTTGTTGGGAAAGTAAATATAATAATAATAATAATAATAATACTTTATTTATACCCCACCACCATCTCCCCAAGGGACTCAGAGTGGCTTTCATGAGGCCAAGCCCAACAACACATCAATAAAAACAACAGGGAATAAGCAAAATAAACAATACAATTAATATAAACTTACACATATAGACAAAATACGATTTAAAGATGTTGAGGTGACACCTTCTGCTGTCAAAAATTCAATGACTGCACATTGCTTAAGTCGCATTGACCGACCATCTGCGTAGGGTTCCATACTTTGCACTTTAGCAACACAACCATTCAATGTTAAGGCTTTCCACCAAAACGGAACTGTAGAGGAGAGCCTACTGAACAAGCCAGTACCTGCCGCATACCAGTACTGCCATCTGTTGAGGAGTTACGAAGGTGGAGGCATTACTTTTCATTCAACCCTCATATATTGAAAGGAATATTGATCTTACGTGAATTGTGACTGTCTTGTTATATTTCAGAGATACCCGGAAGCCTTCCGTCTCACTTTCTGCAGTGGGTGAGTTGCCATTTTCAGTTTTGTCATTGTGATGATCTCTGTACAGCAAGGCACTGAAACACATCTTCTTGTCTAAAAAACTAATTTATTAAACTCAAATATTTACACTAGAGGCTAAACAGAACAAAAGCTTGCTTCCATCTCTCGCGCAGCTACATGGTTCTTCTTCAACACATTGTTATCTACATTTAGGCACCTCCTTACATTCCATAGTGACGTGATGACGTATGACGCTCTCTACGCTGCACAGCAGTACATAGCTCTCCACACTAAGATTTACGACTCTCTAGGAATGCCGTTCCACTCCATGATACAGTTAACCCTTTCCACACAGGAATGACAATCTCGGCACATTGTATTACACAGCATCACATTTCTAAGCACACAAACACTAACTCTGAAAACTACAATACACTCAATCAAAACACACACATATATTCTGACAAGTTTCTCATCTTAGTGTCAAGAGAAAGAAACTAAATGGATGGGTGACCAACCTGTTGACCCACTGGACACATGGCCTTTTATACCTATTTGCACTTATAGAATCATAGAGTTGGAAGAGACCTCATGGGCCATCCAGTCCAACCCCCTGCCAAGAAGCAGGAATATTGTTGAGATTAATTTCACAATTCAGCAGCAGATCAGTTGCACAACTTCAGCGCTTTCCAGTAGCTTCTTCCTGCACAGTATTTTCAGTCAACTGCTCCCACAGCCTGCAGTCACTCTGGAACCTTTTACAGACACTTGAGCACATGCCCGGCCATTGTCAGTTTTACTATTGTTTTCCCCTCCAATCTAGATGACACTACAAACTTGCCACAGCACACGGTTATATCTTGTCTTAGCAGACAGGTTCTTTTAATCAATTACATAGAGCCTTTGACGAACAACATCACAGCACAAGGAGAGATATACACACTGTACATGACTTCCTTATATACAATTCTATACAATTACACATAGCAGTCTCTGACTGGTTCCCAACTCAGGATTATATAATTCACAATCACCTGGACTAGGCCAGAACACATTCCCCAAATGAAGTTCCCTATATACAGTTAATGCATGACTCAGAATTTCCAATAGAAGCCCATTAGCAGTGCATGACTCAGCTATACTACATTACAATACATTGTAAAACCTGACAAATATTGCATTCAAAGCACCCCTGACAGATGGCCATCCAGCCTCTGTTTAAAAGCTTCCAAAGAAGGAGCCTCCACCACACTCCGGGGCAGAGAGTTCCACTGCTGAACGGCTCTCACAGTCAGGAAGTTCTTCCTCATGTTCAGATGGAATCTCCTCTCTTGTAGTTTGAAGCCATTGTTCCATTGCGTCCTAGTCTCCAGGGCAGCAGAAAACAAGCTTGCTCCCTCCTCCTCCCTGTGGCTTCCTCTCACATATTTATACATGGCTATCATATCTCCTCTCAGCCTTCTCTTCTTCAGGCTAAACATGCCCAGCTCCTTAAGCCGCTCCTCATAGGGCTTGTTCTCCAGACCCTTGATCATTTTAGTCGCCCCCCTCTAGACACATACCAGCTTGTCAATATCTCTCTTTAATTGGACACAATATTCCAGGTATGGTCTCACCAAAGCAGAATAGAGCATGGGGAGCAGGACTTCCCTAGATCTAGACACTATGCTCCTATTGATTCAGGCCAAAATCCCATTGGCTTTTTTTGCCGCCGCATCACATTGTTGGCTCATGTTTAACTTGTTGTCCACGAGGACTCCAAGACCTTTTTCACACGTACTGCTCTCAAGCAAGTACGTGTAGAACAAACATATTCATAAGACTTGTGGAATTGTGGGAGTTGAAGCCCAAAACACCTGAAGGGAGGGCCGAAGTTTGCCCATTCCTGTATTAAGCCTTTGAGGCTGTTTTAAGTCGGCTTCCGGGATGATTGGTATTTCCAAGGTTGTCTGGAAGATACGTGTTGACTCGGAACGCTCTGCTTCCAACAGCGGGAGCCTCCCAGGTGAAATGGAACAAGAAGAACGCCAACTGCTTGGCCACCAGCCACGACGGGGACGTGCGCATTTGGGACAAGCGAGTGAGTCCTCTTTGACTCTGTTGGGTGGGTGGGTGGCTGTTGCCTGTTGGAGAAACATGTGTGCAAAGTCTCTCTCTCTCTCTCTCGATAGAAACCAGGCACTGCCGTGGAATACTTGGCGGCACATCTTTCCAAAATCCACGGCCTGGACTGGCACCCGGACAATGAGAGCGTTTTGGCCACATCCAGCCAGGACAACTCCGTCAGGGTAGGTAGGTGGGCTGAGAGGGACTCTGAGTTTTCTGTTGATGTTGTGCCCAGTCAGATCCTCTGTATCCAGACAGGCAGAGGGTCCTGACTGTTCCCATTTCTCTTGAGGAGTCAAATCTCTTGCATATTTGTTGTGGGTATGCAGATGGTGGCCTAGAGTCAATAAAACCATGTATACTGTAGCACCGGGACTGTGGGGCAGCTGCATTATGATCACTACTGACCAAAAGGTCATGAGTTCGAAGCCTGCCTGGGTCGGAGTGAGCTCCCAACCAAAATTGTGTAGCTTGTTGTCGACCTTTGCAGCCCGAAAGACAGTTGCATCTGTCAAGTAGGCAATTTAGGTACCACCTACGCGTGGAGGCTAATTTAACTAATTTACAATGCCATAAAAATCTCCAGGAAGTATGCAAAGAATGAGGAAGTACTTCATCCGTGTCATAAACGGACGGTGAAGTGACAGCTCCCCTGGTGGCCAGAAGCTGGAATGTTAAATAGCCTCTGAGTGTCTGTCCATATACCGTATATATTCGAGTATAAGCCGACCCGAATATAAGACGAGGCACCTAATTTTACCACTAAAACTGGAAAAACTTATTGACTCAAGTATAAGCCGAGGGTGGGAAATGCAAGAGTTACTGGTAAATTCCAAAATAAAAATAGATATCAATAAAATTACATTAATTGAGGCATCACTAGGTTAAACGTATTTGAATATTTACGTAAAACTGTAATTTAAGATAAGACTGTTCATCTCTGATTGAATCATTATTCTAATCTTCAGTGTAAATGTGCTTATGTATCCTTCCAATAATAATATAGTAAAATAATAATAATAATAATAATAATGAAATCAAGCATATATACCTCATTTGCTGTGTCATACTGTGTTTTTGTGTCAGGATAATAATATTACATTTCCATTATTTTACTCTATTATTATTAGTATCTATTATTATTACATTTATTATTTTACTTTATTTTTATTGTTACTGCATTTATAATTTTACTCTGTTATTACTGTTATTACATTTCCATTATTTTACTCTATTATTAACAGTTTATTATTATTTTACTTTATTTTTACTGTTACTGCATTTATAATTTTACTCTGTTATTACTGTTATTACATTTCCATTATTTTACTCTATTATTAACAGTAATAACAGTAAAATTATAAATGCAGTAACAATAAAAATAAAGTAAAATAATAAATGTAATAATAATAGAGTAAATAAATAATGATACTAATAATAAATAGAGTAAAATAATAAATGTAATAATAGAGTAAAGTAATGTAAATAATGATTTTTGATGACGACTGACCACTGTAATTATATGATTGTATTTTGCTATTTTAATGTTTTAGTGTGATTTAGAATATGATGTTTTAATGACTGTCTGTAATATTGATGTTGGAAACCGGCCTGAGTCCCTCGAAGGGAGGTGAGAAGACCGGTATACAAAACTGCTAAATAAATAAATAAATAAATAGAATGATAATAATTAATATATTAAAATAATTCATGTAATAAAATGATACTAATAACAAAGTAAAATAATAAATAACCTTGACTCGAGTATAAGCCGAGGGGAAATTTATCAGCCTAAAAAGGGGGCTGAAAAACTAGGCTTATACTCGAGTATACACAGTAATTTACAATGCCATAAAAATCTCCAGGAAGTATGCAAAGAATGAGGAAAGTACTCCATCAGTGTTACAAATGGACGGTGAAGTGACAGCTCCCCTGGTGGCCAGAAGCTGGAATGTTAAATATCATATTTTGTGCATTTATGCATTATGCTTTATGCATCTTCATGGTCCTGTTAGTTACTGCATGGCTATCAGGCATGGCCCCTATGAAGATGGGGATGCTGGTTTCAATGTGATATGTATATATCATACTTTGACCTGAATAAATGGATGCTTAATTGTCTCCTTGCAAAACAAAAACATATCAGTCTTGTAGAGCAAAATTTTGGACCGGATTGTGGCATAGCTGGTTGGGAGTCAGCGGCATTGAAATCACTACTGACTGAGAGGTAATGAGTTCGAAGACAGTTCGGGTCGGAGTGAGCTTCCGGCCATTTGTCTAGCTTGCTGTCGGCCTTAGCAGCCCAAAAGACAGTTGCATCTGTCAGGTAGGAAATTTAGGTAGCGCTTATGCGGGGAGGCTAATTTAACTAATTTATGACACCATAAAAACTCTCCAGCGTGCAAAAGAATGAGGAAGTACTGTGATCCAGCATGAGATTTTAAGACCTGAAACCGAGCAGTCTGTGTCTCCAGCAGCTTGTGAAGGCCACATTCCAGAGAAGGGCCCAAATGCTGCTGAGAAGCCTTTCTGTAGGGAAGCAGTTTTCGCAAACTCTGTGCTGCTCAACAGCATCTTCGAAAGTCACAGCGCTTGTTACAGAAAAAGCTGTTATCAGGCAGCCAGGGAAAATGGCATGATTTCAGGTCTTTATTAGGGAGACTTTCCATCCAGTCTGGTCAACCTTGAAGCAATAACTCTTGCCAAGTCCTAGCTAAGCCTGGTAAGGGAATTCTAGTTCATGTCTCCATTCGTTCATGCTTCCTGCTTTCAAATTCAAAGGATTATTCCTGGATTTTTGCACCGGATTGTGTACTGCATGCCCTGATGTTTTGGGATTTTGAAACTACTCTTGTACTTTGAATCCTGCGGACTATTTTTTGCATTTGGACTTTGACATTTTTTTTACTACTTTTGCTGAACTGCTTTAGATATAATCTTCCATAAACTTCTAGCTGTTTTAACTTGTACTGGAGTGTGGTGGTTAAGTACAGAGGTGATTCCTGCCCTGGAGGGCAACAGTGAGAGAGAAAAATAGTGGTTCCTATCAGGGAGAAAAGAGGGTTTGAAAAAATGTATTAGCACCTTAATTTGTAGTAAATAATAATAATAATAATAATAATAATAATAATAATAATAAGGTTACATCCCGCCTTGATTACTGCAACGCTCTCTACGTGGGGTTGCCTTTGAAGACAGCCCGGAAGCTCCAACTAGTCCAATTCGGCAGCCATGATACTAACAGGAGCGGAGCGCAGGGAGCATACAACTCCTCTGCTGCACCAGCTCCACTGGCTGCCGATTTGCTACCGAGCACTATTCAAAGTGCTGGCTTTAGCCTATAAAGCCCTAAACGGTTCTGGCCCAACTTATCTATCCGAACGCATCTCCATCTATGAACCAACTAGGACGTTAAGATCGTCTGGGGAGGCCCTGCTCTCGATCCCACCTGTGTCACAAATACATTTGGCAGGGACAAGGGACAGGGCCTTTTCAGTGGTGGTCGCTCAGCTGTGGAACGCCCTTCCTAAAGACATCAGATCAGCCCCCTTGCTGGTGTTTCGGAAGAGATTAAAAACATGGTTGTGTAAACAAGCATTCGGTTAGTTTGTTACCACCGAATTTTATGGACTAAGGACTGGTTAATTATGGATGACGAATTCTGGACTGTGATTTTAGTGACGAGATACATGGTATTATTATTGGTGGCCCAATAATTTGTATTGTCTATGTTTTTGTTTTAAATTGTATATTGTTTTTAATTGTTGTAAACCGCAATGAGTCGCCGACTTAGGCTGAGATATTAGCGGTATACAAGTGTATTAAATAAATAAATAAATAATAATAATAATAATAATAATAATTTTTGTGATTTTGTGATACAAAATCCAGCATAGATATCTCGTCTGCTGTGACATACTGTGCTTTTGTGTCAGTAAAGTAATAATCATAATAATAATAATTATTATTACTGACCTTCCTCCCCTTTTAGCTCGAGATGGAACACAACATAGATAAATAAGTTTATAAAATATATATTACCACATACATGTGTTAAAATACTCAAGGCAAAATTTAAAACACAGTAATTGTAATCATAGTAGTAGAAGTAATAATAATAATAATAATAATAATAATAATGATATTTTTGTGATTTTGTGATACAAAATCCAGCATAGAGATCTCGTTTGCTGTGACATTCTGCGCTTTTGTGTCAGTAAAGTAATAATAATAATAATAATAATAATAATAATTGTTATTATTATTACTATTACTGACCTTTCTCTCCTTTTGGGTCGAGATGGGGCACAGCATAGTTAAACAAATTTATAATATCACATATTACCACATACATGTGTTAAAATACTCAAGGCAAAACTTAAAGCACAGGAATTGTAATCATAGTAGTAGAAATAATAATAATAATAATAATAATAATAATAATAATAATAATAATAATTATTATTATTATTATTATTATTATTGTGATTTTTTGATACGAAATCTAGCATAGAGATCTTGTTTGCTGTGACATACTGTGCTTTTGTGTCAGTAAAGTAATAATAACAATTATAATTATTATTATTATTACTGACCTTTCTCTCCTTTTGGCTCGAGATGGGGCACAACATAGTTAAATAAATTTATAATACCACATATTACCACATACATGTATTCAAATACTCAAGAAAAACTTAAAGCACAGTAATTGTAATCATAGTAGTAATAGTAGTAGTAATAACAACAACAACAAAATTTATCTGTTACCCATTGCTCTTCATGACTCGACCAAAAGTAGGGTGCAATACTGTCAGAGCCTATAAAAATACATATATTGAAGCACATGCTACAGAGATTGCTTTTAAGAGTTTCTCGGTTATCTCTCATTTCCTTTTGCAGGTAATTATTCCATCAATGTGATGTTCCGGGTTCTTTATCCATCGAAAAAGCAACAAGGCATTTAAACTTTCCCAGTTACATTGGATCTCTAAATGCACTATCAGACATGAATACACAATAAATTCTTCATAAGAGATCTCTGCACATTATAACAAAAGGATTCTCAACTTCCCCACCTTCTAAGACTTTGCAGCTCTGTTAATGCTGTAGTGCTCTCCTTATGTTATGATATGATCTCCCAGGGTGTCTCTGTGTTTGCTGTGCTTACGTTGCCTCCTCCTGAGCTGCCTTGTTTTCTCTTTTGTTGAAGTTCTGGGATTACCGACAGCCGCGGAAATACCTCAATATCCTGGCATGTCAGGTTCCGGTTTGGAAAGCCAGGTACACGGTAAGAAGGGGAAACTGGGTTGGGGAGCTGGGGAGGGATCAGACGGTACCAGGAGCCAATGAAAGTGGCAGGCATTTTATAGATTCCTGGAGTCGGAAGAGACCTTCAGAGGCCATCCAGTCCAACTCCCTTCCGTCATGCAGGAGAAGCATAATCAAAGTACTCCTGGTGTCATGAATACCTTTTGAACCTGAAAAACGTTCTTTGATCCATTTTCAGTGTGACAGGTTGGACTCTCTGTCTGCCTGTCATTCTGTTCTCTCCTATCACCTTACTGGTTAGATTGATCATTCTCAGGGAATGTTGTTGTTGTTGTTCATTCATTCAGTCGTCTCCGACTCTTCGTGACCTCACGGACCCCCACGCCAGAGCTCCCTGTCGGCCGTCACCACCCCCAGCTCCTTCAAGGTCAATCCAGTCACTTCAAGGATGCCTTCCATCCATCTTGCCCTTGGTCGGCCCCTCTTCCCTTTTCCTTCCATTTTCCCCAGCATCATTGTCTTCTCTAAGCTTTCCTGTCTCCTCATGATGTGGCCAAAGTACTTCAACTTTGTCTCTAGTATCCTTCCCTCCAATGAGCAGTCGGTCTTTATTTCCTGGAGGATGGACTGGTTGGATCTTCTCGCAGTCCAAGGCACTCTCAGAACTTTCCTCCAGCACCACAGCTCAAAAGCATCTCTCTTCCTTCGCTCAGCCTTCCCTAAGGTCCAGCTCTCACATCCGTAGGTGACTACAGGGAATACCATGGCTTGGACTAGGCAATGGATCTTTGTTGCCAGTCTGATGTCTCTACTCTTTACTATTTTATCGAGACTGGACATTGCTCTCCTCCCAAGAAGGAAGCGTCTCCTGATTTCCTGGCCACAGTCTGCATCTGCACTCATCTTTGCACCTAGAAATACAAAGTCTGTCACGGCCTCCACATTTTCTCCCTCTATTTTCCAGTTGTCAATCATTCTTGTTGACATAATCTTGGTTTTTTTGATGTTTAGCTGCAACCCAGCATCTCCTCCACGCTTTCGGCCATCAGGGTGGTGTCATCTGCATATCTGAGGTTGTTAATGTTTCTTCCAGCAATTTTTACCCCAGCTTTGCATTCCTCAAGCCCCGCACATTGCATGATATGTTCTGCATACAAGTTAAAAAGGTTGGGTGAGAGTACGCAGCCTTGCCATACGCCTTTCCCCCCCCCCCCCTTTTTTCTGATCATATCACAAGTCACAGAGCCTCCCATTTTGTTCTTCTGTGAGCATGGAGAGAGACAAGATATTTGCTGTGGATATCAGCTACTACAAAAATAACCACCCGAAGCCTTGCCACAAAAATAAAGATGCACAGATTTGATAAATATGGATTTAATATGTATGGTAAGAGTGGAATTGTATGAAAGGAATGAATGAATGAGACCTAATTTCATAGAATCATAGAATCAAAGAGTTGGAAGAGACCTCATGGGCCATCCAGTCCAACCCCATTCTGCCAAGAAGCAGGAATATTGCATTCAAAGCACCCCTGACAGATGGCCATCCAGCCTCTGTTTCAAAGCTTCCAAAGAAGGAGCCTCCACCACACTCCGGAGAAGGCAGAGAGTTCCACTGCTGAACGGCTCTCACAGTCAGGAAGTTCTTCCTCATGTTCAGATGGAATCTCCTCTCTTGTAGTTTGAAGCCATTGTTCCGTGTCCTAGTCTCCAGGGCAGCAGAAAACAAGCTTTCTCCCTCCTCCCTGTGGCTTCCTCTCTAATTTGACTGAAGACACCATGCTAAATCATTTATTACAATTGTGTCTGGTGGGGAGAAGGGACAGGACCTTTTCTGTGGTGAACCCCCGGCTATGGAACTCCCTCCTGAGTGAAATTAGATCTGCTGCATCCCTCTTGACCTTCCGGAAACAAGAAAAATCCTGGCTATGGGATCAGGCCTTTAGAGAATAGGCTGACCTACTGGCGTTTTGACTTATTTAGAACAGATGGACTGCCCTTGGATAATGATTTAAATCGGTGACCACTGACTATTTGTTGTCTGTTTTTATATTGTTTTTATATACTTTATACAGTTTTATACTGTGTTGTTATTATTACATTGCTGTTACTTGTATATTTATGTTTTGATGTGGGCGCCATGGGGTGCCGCATTTATGCAATGCTTTTGAAACAAAATAAAAAAAATCTGTTGTGAATTATATACGAGGCGTATTTTTTAAGTAAGGTCCATTTTGTTGTGGACACTAGTAGTTCGTGCGCATACCACAACGAGCGCGTGCGTCGTGTACCGGCATGCCTCGGGAACAACTGTGCTCAGTTTCCGCTCTGTAGCTCACCTGTACGGTTCTGTTCTGTGCTTTAAAAATGTTTAAGACTTTCAACTCACCCGCCGCATGTGAAGTTCGCTCAGTGATATGGTTTTTGTCAGCAAGGAACCTGCCTGCTGCAGAAATTCATTGACAGATTTGTGAAGTGTACGGTGAGACTGTTATGAGTGAAAGCAAAGTGCGTAAGTGGGTACGACAATTCAAAGATGGCCGTGACAACGTCCACGATGAGGACCGCTCCGGTCGCCCTTCTTTGATTACAGACCATTTGGTGGCTTCAGTTGAAGCGAGGATTTATGAAGAGGGTATTTTAAAATTGGTTCAGAGGTATGATACGTGTTTGAACAAACTTGGCAACTATGTCGAAAAATAGAGTGAAGTATGTACTTTCTGAAAATAAATTTATTTATTTTTTTGAAATAAACTTTCATTGTGTACTTATGTTCCAACGGACCTAACTTAAAAAATACCCCTTGTAGTTAGATAGCTAGCCCTTGAGTTAACTTTCCTGTCTAGATATGTAGTAGATAAGTATTAAGCTTGACTCCGCTCCTGAATTCCTTAAGCTCAATCACTCTACTGCTGGTACCAGAAGCTTCTTATCTGCCGAACCGTTGCTAATGCTGTTGTTGCTGCTTTACCATTTGTGAATGCTTTTTTCTTTGTGAAAATGGCCTCCCAAATAAGTCTTTCCTCTTCCCTTTCCTCAGCCTTTCAGCAATGGCTTGGTGACAGTCATGGTCCCCCAGCTGCGGAGGGAGAACAGCCTGTTGCTCTGGAACGTTTTTGACCTGAACACTCCAGTCCACACTTTTGTGGGGCACGACGACGTGGTGCTAGAGTTCCAGTGGAGGAAGCAGAAGGAAGGTACTTCATGGTCAAGAGACCTCTGTTGAGACTGACCTCTATTATTATTATTATTATTATTATTATTATTATTATTATTATTATTATTATTATCTCTCTATATAAACATGCTCTGTGCATAATGAGTACCTTAAAAACAAAAGAACCAATGAACGAAATCACACCAAATTTGGCAACAAAACGTCTCACAACACAAGGAGTGACCATCACTCAAAAAATTATGATTTTGTCATTTGGGAGTTGTAGTTGCTGGGATTTATAGTTCACTTACACTCAAATACCATTCTGAACTCCACCAACGATGGAATTGAATCAAACTTGGCACACAGAACTCCCATGACCACCAGAAAATACTGAAAGGATTTGGTGGGCATTGACCTTGAATTTTGGAATTGTAGTTCACCTACATCCAGAGAGCACTGTGGACTCAAACAATGATGGATCTGGACCAAACTTGGCACAAGCACTCAATATGCCCAAATATAAACACAGATGGAGTTTGGGGAAAATGGACCTTGGCATTTGGGAGTTGTAGTTACTGGGATTTATAGTTCACCTACAATTAAAGAGCGTTCTGAATGACACTAACGACAGAATTGGAACAAACCTCCGACACAGAACTCCCATGACCAACAGAAAATACTTAAGGCCATCCAGTGCAACTCCCTTTAACAGGGCAAATAAACATAATCAAAGCCCTCCTGACAAAGAGCCATCCAGCCATAGATATAGATCGATATATATGACACACACACAGATATAGTATCATAGATTTGAAAGGGACCCCTAAACAAGGACAATTCTATGTTGCATGCTCCAGAGTAGGTCAGCCAGACAATATCTACATCAACACAAACAGAAAAAAATTACATATATTAGAAACCAACACTTTCTCATTACTTTATTTTCCAGATCAACAGACTGGGCCACAGCAACGCATGGCAGGGAAAAGCTAGTTATTATTATTTTGTGTTCCCCCTGTAATTAAATCCAGTTAGAAGCTGCTGACCTTTGTACTAATTGCAGTTTCCGGCTCTCTTAATAAGAATAATCTTTATTTATATCCCGCCACCATCTCCCCAATGGGGACTCAGGGCAGCTAACAAGAGGCCAAGCCCTTCTAAAATACAATACAACACAGTAAAATCTATATAAATAAAAATGTAATGTTCGTTTGTGGGATTAACATAACTCAAAAACCACTGGACGAATTGACACCAAATTTGGACACAAGACACCTAACAAGCCAATGTATGTACTTCACTGAAAAAAATGATTTTGTCATTTGGGAGTTGTAGTTGCTGGGATTTATAGTTCACCTACAATCAAAGAGCATTCTGAACCCCACCAATGATGGAATTGAACCAAACTTGACACACAGTTCTTCGATGACCAACAGAAAATACTGGAAGGGTTTGGTGGGCAGTGTCCTTTGGTTTGGGAGTTGTAGTTCACCTACATCCAGAGATCACTGTGGACTCAAACAATGATGGATCTGGACCAAACTCTACACGAATACTCAATATGCCCAAATGTGAACACTGGTGGAGTTTGGGGAAAATAGGATCTTGACATTTGGGAGTTGTAGTTGCTGGGATTTGTAGTTCACCTACAATCACAGAGCATTCTGAACCCCACCAACAACAGAATTGGGCCAAACCTCCCAGAGAACCCCCATGTGAGCCACAGCAAAGCGTGGCAGGGGACGGCTACTACAAAATACAAAACAAAATACAACAATAATAATAATAATAATTACAATAACAAAATGAAATGGTACAACAAATTCACACAATTACAACAAAAAACAAAACAAAAAAACCAACCATATAGGATGGGCAGGCCAAGAGAACAAGATAAAAAGATAAAACCCTGGGCAAATGAGGGGGGCCCAAGAAAACAAAACAGTGGGGACAAGCTTTCAGTTTAAAATGGGGGGAAAGTGCATCATAGGGGAACACTATAGATGGAGCAACACAACCAGTATGGATGGTCACTCTTCAAAGGCACACCAAAAAAGACAGGTTTTCAGATTTTTCTTGAAGTCTGCTAAGGAGGGGGCTTGCCTAATCTCACCAGGGAGTGAGTTCCAAAGACGGGGAGCCACAACAGAGAAAGCTCTCTCCCTCATTCCCACCAATCTTGTCTGTGACAGTGGGGGAGGCGAGAGGAGAGCCTCCCCGGAGGATCAGAGAGGATGTGCAGGTTGGTGGCAAGAGATGCGGCCACAAAGATAGGCAGGTCCCAAATCGTTCATGGCTTTATAGGTGATGACCTGAACCTTGAATTGGGACTGGAAGATGAACGGCAGCCAATGGAGCTCTTTAAACAGGAGGGTTGATCGCTGCCTGTAATTCGCCCCAGTTATTACTCTGACTGCTGCAGGTTGGACCAATTGGAGTTTCCGGGCCATCTTCAAGGGAAGCCCCATGTAGAGCGCATTGCAATAATCCAATCTGGAGGTAACTAAGGCGTGGACCACCATGGTCAAGGCAGAACCCATGAGGCATGGTCGCAGCTGGCACACGAGTTTTAATTGTGCGAAGGCCCTTCCAGCCACCGCCGACTCCTGAGCATCTCTTCAAAGGCAGCCCCACATAGAGTGCATTGCAGTAGTCCAATCTGGCATGGGCCACCATTTTACAAAATGCCTCTGTCTCAGGCTTAAGTTGCATTTGCCAAAGACTCCATCTTCTTATTTTTATTGAAATGGATCAGTTTGAATCTCCTCGTGTGATGCATTTCCCATTCTCCTTTCAGGGTCAAAGGATTACCAGCTGGTTACCTGGTCTCGGGATCAGACGCTACGGCTGTGGCGCGTGGACGGCCAACTACAGCGGGTAGGTACAACAGGAAGCAGACGCTTTCCCCTTGCAGGTTGAAAAGATTGAATTCTTAAGTGTGAATTCGGAGGTCGTCCGAATGTTTATACAGTTTTATATTGTTAATATTACATTACTTTGACCTACAAAACCCTATACGGTTTCGGCCCAGTATATCTGTCCGAATGGATCTCCCTCTACGTCCCACCTCGGAGCCTAAGATCTTCTGGGGAGGCCCTGCTCTCGACCCCGCCTTTATCACAAGTGAGACTGGCGGGGACGAGGAGCAGGGCCTTCTCGGTAGTGGCCCCCCACCTGTGGAACTCACTCCCCGGGGAGATCAGATCAGCGACTTCCCTTCTCTCATTCAGGAAAAAGCTGAAAACTTGGATGTGGGACCAGGCTTTTGGAAACTCTGGCAGCTAGAAAGAAAGACCACAGTGATGGGCAAATAATGACGAAACGTAATGGACCTATGGAACTCGAAACACTGACCATGAGACTGTTACTATTGTGCTTTTGTGTTATATATTGATGTTTTTAATCTGTTAATTGTTTAATTATTTTAATTGTTTATATATGTATGTATTTGATATGGGCATCGAATTCTGCCTTCTTTTTGTAAGCCGCCCTGAGTCCCCCCTCGGGGGTGAGAAGGGCGGGGTATAAGTAACAGAAATAAATACTGTTAATTGTATATTTATGTTTTGATGTGGGCCCCATGGGGCGCCACTTGGTTAGCCGTCCTGAGTCCCTCTGTGGAGGTTGAGAAAGGACAGGGTATAAAAGCCATAAATAAATAAATAAATAAATTATAGTATTATATGATAGCCATGCAGTAACTAGCAGGACCATGAGACTGCATAAAGCATAATGCATAAATGCACAAAATATGCACAAAAGGAGTAGTTGGGTATCATGATAGAACAGGCTAGCATGCTAGAGCAGGCATGGGCAAACTTGGGCCATCAGGTTGTTTTGGACTTCAACTCCCACCATTTCTAACAGTCTACTCAAGGAACATGAAAGGCACTGCAAAGGCACTGAAATCAGCCATAGCAGAGCACCTGATGAACCAACCTGGACACAGCATATTATTTGAGAACACAGAAGTGCTGGATCACTCTCACAATGACCATGTCAGACTACACAGAGAAACCGTTGAAATCCACAAGAAGCATGTGGACAATTTCAACAGAAAGGAGGAAACCATGAAGATGAACAAAATCTGGCTACCAGTATTAAAAAACTCAAAAATTACAACAGCAAAACAACAGAGAGTAAACAATCAGGCACATCAATTCACTCTCAACAAGAGATTCCCCCCAGGCGCTTCCAGGCCATTGAATGCAAATCAAGGTGATCAGCTGAAACATTACCCTGGTCATTCCACAGATATATAAACCCATTTTTCCTACTTCCAACAGACCTCACTACCTCTGAGGATGCTTGCCATAGATGCAGGTGAAATGTCAGGAGAAAAATGGCCTCCAGAACATGGCCATATAGCCCGGAAAAACCTACAACAACCCAGTCTGCTCACTGTTAGAAATCGTGGAAGTTGAAGTCCAAAACACCCTGATGGCCCAAGTTTGCCCATGTCTGTGCTAGAGGAAGATGCTAATTAAACAAACATGCGAGATTGTTAGAATCCCAACAGAAGCCAAGTGCTGATGGACAACTCTGCCTGCTTTTCCAGTCCTTGGTTGCCCCATGCCTCTGCTCTCCTTTTCCCCGTCTTTTTGCTGGCCTAAATTTGACTTTCTTTGGTTGCATGGTCTGCCTGTTGTTCCAGCTGTGCTCCAATGACCTCCTGGATGGAGTGGAGGAGCTCATTGATGGGATCTCTCTGATGCCGGAGGCGGACAAGGCCCTGCCTTCCCAGGACACCGAGCCCCAGCAGAACTCCAACCAGGGCGAGGAGGAAGGTGAGGCTTGTGATCTTCCTTCTCGTGCAGTAGTCTCAACTATGGAGCCCCCCTGATATCAGGAATCTTCAACATCCTGTAGCATCTAGGAGAGGCAAAATGTGCTCTTTGGTTTGTCTTACTGACTTACAAATTTGATGGGTTTTTTTAGGAGTATTCAAAAAAGTTTATCCTTTGACTTCCTCTGAAAAATATAGCCTGGGGCACATGGCAATCTTTCGCAAGTCCTGACCTGGGTCACGCAGTCTCCATTTTGTTGGGGAGGTTATTTTGGTGGTCCATATGCCCTTGGAGAGTAGAGTTTTCATCGGAAAGTGGATGTATTTGGAACATCATAAGTTAGGGAAACCCGTCACAGAAACACTCCTCTAGCAGAATAGATTCTAAGATTATTGTTGTTGTTCATTCGTACAGTTGTTTCCAACTCTTCATGACTTCATGGACCAGCCCACGTCAGAGCTCCCTGTCGGCCATCACCACCCCCAGCTCCTTCAAGGTCAAGCCAGTCACTTCAAGGATGCCATCCATCCATCTTGCCCTTGGTCGGCCCCTCTTCCTTTTTCCTTCCCTTTCCCCCAGCATCATTGTCTTCTCTAAGCTTTCCTGTCTCCTCATGATGTGGCCAAAGTACTTCAACTTTGTCTCTAGTCTCCTTCCCTCCAGTGAGCAGTCGGGCTTTATTTCCTGGAGGATGGACTGGTTGGATCTTCTCGCAGTCCAAGGCACTCTCAGCACTTTCCTCCAACACCACAGCTCAAAAGCATCTCTCTTCCTTCGCTCAGCCTTCCTTCCCTAAGGTCCAGCTCTCACATCCGTATGTGACTATACCATTGCTTTAACTATGCGGATCTTCGTTGCCAGTGTGATGTCTCTACTCTTTACTATTTCATCGAGATTAGACATTGCTCTCCTCCCAAAAAGGAAGCGTCTCCTGATATCCTGGCCTCATTCTGCATCTGCACCTAGAAATACAAAGTCTGTCACGGCCTCAACATTTTCTCCCTCTATTTCCCAGTTGTCAATCATTCTTGTTGCCATAATCTTGGCTTTTTTGATGTTTAGCTGCAACCCGGCTTTTGCGCTTTCTTCTTTCACCTTGATTAGAAGGCTCCTCAGCACCTCCTTGCTTTTGGCCATCAACGTGGTGTCATCTGCATATCGAAGGTTGTGAATGTTTCTTCCAGCAATTTTCACCCCAGCTTTGCATTCATCAAGCCCTGCACGTCGCATGATGTGTTCTGCATACAAGTCAAAAAGGTTGGGTGAGAGGAGACAACCCTGCCGTACGCCTTTCCCAATCTTGAACCTGTCTGTTGTTCCATGGTTAGTTCTTACTGTTGCTACTTGGTCCTGAGACAGATTCCTCAGGAGAGAGATACGGTGGCTTGGGATGCCCATCCCACCAAGAACTTGCCACCATTTATTATGATCCACACAACCAAAGGCTTTAGAATAGTCAATAAAGCAGAAATAGATGTTTTTCTGAAACTCCCTGTCTTTCTCCATTCTCCAGCATCCAGATATTGGCAATCGGGTCTCTGGTTCCTCTGCCTTTTCTAAACCCAGCTTGCCCATCTGGCCACTCTCTCTCCATGTCTTGCTGGAGTCTTCTTCCTTGCAGGATCTTGAGCATTCCCTTACTAGCATGAGAAATCAGGGCCACTGTATGGAAGTCTGAGCAATCTTTAGCATTTCCCTTTTTTGGTATGGGGATATAAGTTGATTTTTTTCCAGTCTGGTGGCAATTCTTGTTTTTTCACATTTGCTGGCATATGGCATGCATCACCTTGACAGCATTATCTTTCTAGATTTTAAACAGTTCAGCTGGGATCCCGTCATCTCCTGCTGCCTTGTTGTTATTCTAAGATTAGTTGGGAGTAATTTCTGTAGACATAAATCCCTTTGGGAATACATAGTTCTCTTCTATATTAAACACTTCCTATGCTAGTCTTACGGCTTGCATCTCTTGGAAACTTGCCTTCTTGGTTTTCAGCTCCCAGAGTCTGCTAGCCAGCATGGCCACTGACCCTGAGTGGGCCTACCATGTCCTATATCAGTGCGCTTGGCCACCTTTAACCTGTGCATTTGGTTACCTGTTCTCTTTTGAGGAGTGAAGCAAGGAAATAGGTTTTCTGTCCTTCCTGAGCATTCTCTTCTTTTCATGGCAGTCTTAAAAGATGACTCCCAGAAGAGCCTCCTGGTGGGGAAGAAGCTGGACCAACTGGGGCTGCCCCAGACTCTGCAGCAGGAGTTCTCCCTCATCAACGTTCAGATCCGAAATGTCAACATGGAGGTGAGGGGAAAGCGGGAATGACATTCGGGTGGCCTGCTAGGGCTTGACCGGTTGGAATGACTGAAAAGCCTGCTGTAATGAATCCCTTACCTTAGTTAGCTGCCTAGAGCCTAAGGAAGTGGGCCTGGCGAAGCCACAGTATCCATTTTAGGAAAGGGACATAGGGAGATGCTGTCTTAGGTTAGGTTGGCCTTAAGGGGGTGTATTCAAGTCTAGGAGGGAAAGTTAGAAGGCTAGGATTGGTTAGAAAGATGGGGATCTAAAGGGAAAAAAGTGACTTTTCAACTGAGGTTTAAGTTCCCAGTTGGGCAGTTGAGGTTTGGAAAGGGTAGAGAGAAGAAGCGTGGGTGTTAGTGAGAGCAGTTTGGGTTTTGAAAAAGACGTTTTGGGTCAGTCTTTAGTAAAGTATTAAAAGTAGCTATAGAGAATATAGCTAGAATACTGTGTGGAGCAGCACCCCATTAGTGGCCTGTTCATTTCCTAAGAAAGGCTAGTTCAGGTTTTGGCTGGATTCCTAAGGGGGTGGGGGTGGGAGTTACTTTCAGAGATTCATTTCCTGAAGTAATTTTTTGTGTTGAAACTTTTAAGACTTGTAACCCAGAAGTTTTTAAGATCTTTGCTCAAACGTAACCATAAGCTTTTTATGCCAGTATTTTACTGAAACCATTAAGCTTTTGTACCTGAATAATTCAAGCCTGTTCAATAAATGTTCTTGTTATTTTTATCAACTTAAAGCAGCCTCAGTGTGAATACCTTGGTGGTCAAAGCATTATTTCAAGCCAGCTTCTAACAGCCTCTAAGAAAACTATAGTGGCACAGTGTGTGTTCACAGAACAAACGCTCAACATAAACTCAGCCTGTTTATTATTAATATGGTGGCAGCGGAAATCTTTTGAAGAACTATTTGAAGTCTCTCAGTTCCATTGGTTCCCAGTTCCTAACTTTTAAATAGACAGTTACCTGTCCGAACGCATCTCCCCTTATGAACCATCGAGGACTTTGAGATCATCCGGTAAGGCCCTGTTCTTGGTCCCGCCTTCATCACAAGTACGTTTGGAGGGGGTGAAAGACAGGGCCTTCTCAGCGGTGGCCCCTTGGCTATGGAACACCCTCCCTAGGGAGATCAGATCGGCTCCCTCCCTCTTAACGTTTCGGAGGCAAGTTAAAACATGGTTATTTGAGCAAGCGTTTACAAATGCAGAGTAACTGATATAGGAAATTTAATGACTTGTCAATGGAACTGGACAATGCTTGATAATAAGACGCTAATGATGTTGTTTTTATTCCTTTTGTTGTGTTTTATACTGTTTTAATGTTTTAATTTGTATTATATTATATATACTGTTTTGTTGGAAACCGCCTTGGTCACCGATAGGCTGAGAAAGGCGGTATACAAATACAGTAAGTAAATAAATAAATACATAAATAAATAAGGAATCCCACTGGAGCATTTTTGTGATGCTTTCTTGTTTTGTCTTGATTGGAAAACCACCCTCTAGTTCTTGAGAGAGCACCTGATGAACCAACCTGGACACAACATACTATTTGAGAACACAGACATGCTGGACCACTCTCACAACCACCATGCCAGGCTACACAGAGAAGCCACTGAAATCCACAAGCATGTGGCCAATTTCAACAGAAAGGAGGAAACCATGAAAATGAACAAAATCTGGCTACCAGTATTAAAAACCTCTAAAATTACAACAGCAAAACAACAGAGGGAGAACAATCAAGGACATCTAATCAACAAAAGATTGCCCTAGGCACTTCCAGGCCATCAAATGCTAATTAAGGTGGTCAGTTGAAACATTCACACCTAGCTCCAGCAGACAAGAGTTCATTCCACAGATATATAAACCCATTTTTCCTACTTCTAACAGACCTCACTACCTCTGAGGATGCTTGCCATAGATGCAGGCGAAACGTCAGGAGAGAATGCCTCTAGAACATGGCCATATAGCCTAAAAAAAACTTACAGCAACCTAGAACTAGAGTTATTGGGGGACTGTGGATCAACAGAATGAAATCACAGGTGAACATGTATCATGCCCCTCTTGTAATCCTCTCTCTCTCTCTCTCTCTCTTTCGTATATGACATTGCTGGGTGTGCCTTGTCATGGCAGATGGACGCAGTGAATCGCAGCTGCACGGTCTCTGTGCACTGCAGCAACCACCGGGTCAAGATGCTGGTGATGTTCCCTGCCCAATACCCCAACAATGCCGCCCCCTCTTTCCAGTTTGTCAGCCAGACCACCATCCCTTCCACCATGAAGGCCAAGCTGCTCAAGGTGGGGCCTGTCTCTTAACAACTCTTCCATATTATCAACAGGTTAAATAGCAAATGCTGCAAGTATTTTAGTGTTTTCATCATTCTTTTTATTATTATCAGATTATTGTATATACTCAAGTATAAGCCGGCCCGAATATAAGCCGAGGCATCAAATTTTACCACAAAAAACCTGGGAAAACGTATTGACTCGAGTATAAGCCGAGGGTGGGAAATGCAACAGCTACTGGTAAATTCCAAAATAAAAATAGATACCGATAAAGTTGCATTAATTGAGGCATCGGTAGGTTAAATGTTTTTGAATAAATAAGACTGTCCTCCGATTAAAGCATTATTCTAACCTTCTTCAGTGTAAATGTGTTTATATATCCTTCCAATAATAATAGAGTAAAATAATAAATGTAATAATAACAGTAATAAAGAATAAAATAATAAATGTAATAATAATAATAGAGTAAAATGATTAATGTAATAATTACAGTAATAAAGAATAAAATAATAAATGTAGTAATAATAGAGTAAAATGATTAATGTAATAATAACAATAATAAAGAATAAAATAAATGTAATAATAACAATAATAAAGAATAAAATAATAAATGTAATCATAATAGAGTAAAATGATTAATGTAATAATAACAGTAATAAAGAATAAAATAATAAATGTAATAATAATAATAATAATAATAGAGTAAAATGATTAATGTAATAATAACAATAATAAAAAATAAAATAAATGCCATAATAACAATAATAAAGAATAAAATAATAAATGTAATAATAATAGAGTAAAATGATTAATGTAATAATAATAATAATAATAATAATAATAATAATAGAGTAAAATAATAAAAAAACCTTGACTCGAGTATAAACCGAGGGAGACCTTTTCAGCCTAAAAAAAGGACTGGAAAACTAGGCTTCACTCGAGTATATACAGTAATTTTAGCACAAAAAATCTGGGGAAACGTACTGACTTGAGTATAAGCTGAGGGTGGGAAAACAAAATAAATACCAATAAAATTATATTAATTAAAGCATCAGCAGGTTACATGTTTTTGAATATTTACATAATACTGTAATTTAAGATAATACTGTCCAACTCTGATTAAACCATTATTCTAACCTCCTTCAATATAAATATGCTTACCTATTCTTCCAATGACAAGTGTAAAATAATAAATGTAATACAAAATAATAATAACAGAATAAAATAATGGAAATGTAATAATAACAATAATAGAGTATAATAGTAAGTAAACTTTATTACGGTCGATGACCAGATCATAATGTAGTAAAATAATAGAATAAAATAATTTAAATGCAATAATACCAATAATAATACATAGAGTAAAATAATAAATGTAATAATAACAATAATAACTAGAGTAAAATAATAGTGAGTAAACTTTATTATGGTCAATGACCAGATCATATGTAATAAAATAATAGAATAAAATAATGTAAATGCAATAATACCAATGATAATACATAGAGTAAAATAATAAATGTAATAAAAACAATAATAACTAGAGTAAAATAATGGTGAGTAAACTTTATTACAGTCAATGACCAGATCATAATGTAATAAAAATAATAGAGTAAAATAATGTAAATGCAATAATACCAATGATAATACATAGAGTAAAATAATAAATGTAATAAAAACAATAATAACTAGAGTAAAATAATAGTGAGTAAACTTTATTACAGTCAATGACCAGATCATAATGTAATAAAAATAATAGAGTAAAATAATGTATATGCAATAATACCAATGATAATACATAGAGTAAATTAATAAATGTAATAATAATAGAATAAAATAATAAACGTAATAATAACAATAATAAATAGAGAAAAATAACAGAGTAATAAAATCAGAGTGTAATAAAATAATAGAGTATTATTAGTAACATTACATGTAATGTAAATATATAATTATAATATTGTATTATTATTACTAGTATTATATTGTATTACATTATAATATTATAAATATTATATGTATATACAATATACTATATTATGTTATTAGCAAAGACAAGATGGAAATTTCTGCTCCCCTCTGTCTTCGCTCTGTGAAGTTAAATCAGCAAACCAGTTTATTGAAGATTATATAAACGGCAGTTCAGCAAAAGTAGTAAAACTTCAAAGTCCATAAGCAAAAATATAATCCATAAGGTTCAAGGCACAAGAGTATTCAAGAATCCCAAAACAGCAGAACATCCAGCATAAGAATAGAAATGAAACCAGGAAATACAAGGCAGCATAGAATCAAATACAAGAATACAGGAACAATTATTCAAACTTGGACGCAAGATACGTGAACAAGAGCATGGGACGGTAATTCCCTTGGCAAGAGCTGTTGCCTCAGATATCAACATTGACCAGATTGCTGGGCAAAACTCACTTCCTGAGGAATGTTCTGTTTTTTGATTATTTATTTGTCGTGTCAGGACAACTAGTCAAATTATATTACATTTCTAACAGAACAAAGCAAACAAACAGACAAAATACAAAATTTGTGAGTTTGGTAGCTGATTAAATGTCCTTTGACGGGTATCTGGCCCCTTGGAGTGCTTCTGGTGTTGCCGCAAGAAGGTCCTCCCTTGTGCATGTGGCAGGGCTCAGGTTGCATTGCAGCAGGTGGTCTGTGGTTTGCTCTTCTCCACACTCGCATGTCGTGGATTCCATTTTGTGGCCCCATTTCTGAAGGTTGGCTCTGCATCTCGTGGTGCCAGAGCGCAGTCTGTTCAGCACCTTCCAAGTCACCCAGTTTTCTGTGTGCCAAGGGGGAGTCTCTCATTTGGTATCAGCCATTGGTTGATGTTCTGGGTTTGAGCCTGCCACTTTTGGACTCTCGCTTGCTGAGGTGTTCCAGCGAGTGTCTCTGTAGATCTTAGAAAACTATTTCTAGATTTAAGTCGTTGACGTGCTGGCTGATACCCAAACAGGGGATGAGCTGGAGATGTCTCTGCCTTGGTCCTTTCACTATTGGCTGCTACTTCCCGGTGGATGTCAGGTGGTGCAATACTGGCTAAGCAATGTAATTTCTCCAGTGGTGTAGGGCATTAAGAGCCACATCCACTGTTTTAGTGTGGTGAGATGTGTTCCACACTGGGGATGCATACTCAGCAGCAGAGTAGCACAGCGCAAGGGCAGATGTCTTCACTGTATCTGGTTGTGATCCCCAGGTTGTGCCAGTCAGCTTTTGTATGATATTGTTTCTAGCGCTCACTTTTTGCTTGATGTTCAGGCAGTGCTTCTTGTAGGTCAGAGCACGGTCCAGAGTGACTCCCAGGTATTTGGGTGCGCTGCAATGCTCCAGTGGGATTCCTTCCCAGGTGATCCTCAGAGCTCGGGATGCTTCTCTGTTCTTGAGATGAAAGGCACATGTCTGTGTTTTGGATGGGTTGGGGATCAGCTGGTTTTCCCTGTAATTTCCCTGTTTTTGGATAACTCCTCAGTTTTGCTACCTTGAGATCCTGTACACATTTGTGAGAAGGCTTGAGTGTAAAGTTGTCCCAAGACTATTCAAAAGTGATTTCAATCTGGCCCTTCTTGCAGATCTTGAAGGATACCTCCATGCAGAAAGTGAAACGGAACCAGTGCTGCCTGGAGCCATGTCTACGCCAGTTGGTCTCCTGCCTGGAGTCTGTCGTGGTAGGAAATGGGTTGTTCCCTCTAAACTAGTCCCACGTGTTTATAGTGGCTAGCTAGTGTCAGCAATGCAGTGTGTGCTCCCTTTGTGAAATGTTTGCGGTGAATTAGTGTCTCCCCAAAGTTGCTGAACTACAGCTGTAAGCTTGTAGCTCTCATTTCATTAAGATAGCAAATCAACTTTTGACTTTGGTTCGTTTTAAAGGTGCGGAACATAGATTCAGCACTTTTTATCGCTACTTTAAAGCTATCCAAAACCAGTGTCCTCTGACAAGGGGACCATTTACTGACAGCCCCCATCTCCACTTCCATGTAAAATCCAGATTACCTGCTTTGAACTGGATTATATGACAGTGTAGACCAGGGGTCGTCAAACTTTTTAAACCGGGGGCCGGTTCACTGTCCCTCAGACCGTTGGAGGGCCGGACTATCGTTTTTTGTTTTTTTTTTAAATCAATTAAAAAATTCCTCTGCACATTGCAGATATTTTATTTTGCTGAGTGAAAGGGTTCTTTCTCGCCCTCTTTAGGCAGTAATTCCAGGAGCAGAGAATGGGAAATTTTCCTATTTCTAGTCTGAACAAAATCTGGCTACCAGTATTAAAAAAACTCTAAAATTATAACTGTAAATAAAGAACAACACTCAAACACAGGGGAACTCCAGACAAGAAACAATCAGGGACAGCTAATCACCTCTCAGCAAAAGATTCTCCCTAAAAACTGTCAGGCTATGAAATGGTAATCAAGGTGGCCAATTGAAACATTCATACCTACCTCCAACAGACAAGAGTTCTTTCTCCCACCCTGGATCTTCCACAATTTCCCTAGTTAAAGGTTTTCCTCTGACATGAAGTCCAGTCGTGTCTGACTCTGGGGTGTGGTGCTCATCTGCATTTCTAAGTCGAAGAGCCGGCGTTGTCCATAGACACCTCCAAGGTCATGTGGCCGGCATGACGACATGGAGCGCCGGGGCAGCCTCCCTTGGCTGGCTCACGCTGCCCATCGAGCCTGACGGATAGCGTCAGCCTGCCAAGAGAGGAGCACCCTGCGCGCCCTACTCGCACGTAAAGCACCTTGCAAGGTGCTTTACGCGCGAGTAGGCCACACGGAGCAGCTGCCCTTGGCTGGCTCACGCTGCCCATCAGGCCTGACGGATAGCGTGAGCCAGCCAAGGGAGGGGCACTGTGGGGGGGGGCGCTCCTCCTTCGCGGGCCAGATAAGTGCCCTTGGTGGGCTGGAAGTGGCCCACGGGCTGTAGTTTGGGGGCCCCTGGTGTAGACACATTTAATCCAGTTCAGAGCAGATAATATGGGTTTTATATGGCAGTGTAGATGGTGGCCTGCCACTGCTCTGTGTATTCCTAACCTTGGCTCTATTGGCAAGGCAGCTGGGATTTGAAGTCCCAACAATATCTGAAGCTCCTCCCACAATTCCTAACAGCTGGACTCGCATCTTTTGTGCCCAGATTGTTTTTTTTAAATATATTTTTATTGAGTTGTCTGTGACAAAGTTAAAAACAGAAAATAGGAAAAGAAAAAAGTGTGTGAGAAAAAGATAAGAAGAAAAGAGAGGAAAGAAAAGAGAGAAAGCGTGTACAAAAAGGAAAATAATAATAATAAAAATTAAAAAAAAATGATTGAAGATCTTCGTGACTTCCTGAGTATCTTGATGGAGGTGTTCTCCTTTTCTTTGTCTTCTGATCTTCTGATCTTATTCCAAAAAAGGGGGGGAAAGTAGGAATAAGATATCTTCTCTCCTTCCTTCTTCCTAGGGTTATTTTCCTTTGTTTAAATTTTTTGTCTTATGTTTTGTCTCCTTTAGATAGTCATTAATTTTTCCCCAATTTGTCTCTTGTATCGAGTTGTTCTTACTTCTTGATAATAAAAATGTAAGCCGATCCATATTTCTAATGTCAAGCACTTTTTGTAACCAATCTTCCATCTCTGGTGTTTCCTCCTTCTTCCATAATTTTGCATAACATATCCTCGCTGCTGTTGTCAGCAGAAATAATAGTTTGTCTGTAATTTTTTCCATTTTTGATGTCGTCATGCCCAGCAAGAATAATTCCGGTTTTGAATGGATATTTATACCTAACATCTTCTGAGTTATCTCGTGTATTTTGTTCCAATAGGATGTTTCTTTTTCGCATGTCCACCACATGTGGAACAGTGTACCTTTGTGCCCAGATTGTTAATAAACCTCTGTGGCTTCACCTAGTGAGTGTGTTCTTCTATTGGAACTTCAGGCTTTAGCATAAATGCGCGCCAGGTATGAACCCTCTGTATCCACAGTCCTAATCTAAATTTGACCTCACATTGACTTCAATGGGCTATTAGGAATTGTGAGAGTTGAAGTCCAAAACACCCGGAGAGCCGAAGTTTGCCCAGGCCTGGGTTAGAACATCAGGAAAAACAACAGACAGTGGTGACAAGAACCAGCTGTGGGAGAGCAGCGCGTTCTTCCCCTTGTTGGTTCTGTAGTTCCAAATCTATAAGTCCAGAGGAAGCTGGGTGTATGTGAAATCCCATGTGGTTTTTTTTTTTCTGTTCCAGAACCAAGAGGACAGCTCCTCTGGCAACCCCTACTCCGTCACGCCGCCTTTACCAACCTTCCCCCGGGTCACCAATGCCTATGGTTCCTATCAGGACTCCAATATCCCTTTTCCCCGCACCTCCGGAGCACGGTTTTGCGGGGCAGGTAGGCTTGAGTCTATATCAGCATTTCTCAACCTGGGGTCAGGACCTGTTGCAACTCAGAGTAAGCTTCACCTTGCTTCCAAACACCACCACACAAGAGCTGTAGTTTTATAGTTTCTTGAGGAAAAGATCCAAGTCACGATAAAGAATAAACATTGCAAAGTTCCAAAGATTCAGGTTAAATGCAGAATATAGTTCCAAAGATCTTCAGGTAAAAGCAGGAGACACAATCCTATTGGCAAAGTTCAAACCAGAGTTCTGGGTACAAGCAATGAAACAATTGCCCCATGAATCACAATGCAAGAAATCCCAAGCGTACTGCTTCCCAGGCTAAGGTTATTCCATGAAGCTTTCAGGCTAGTAAGCTACGTTGAACTGACACTTTCTCAGGGTTTGCAAGAAGCCTAAATACCTTTCTAACATGAAAACATTAGGCTCTCATCATCATAAAAGCATTGCGATGACCTTTCACCGAGCTGGCTTCTCATCTGCCACCCAGATGAGAACTCCGCCTGACCTTCAGATCAAGATGAGCTTGCTAGGTGAAGTCACTATCTACACTTTCTGTATCAGCGTGGGAAGGCACCTGCTCGCTATCTCCTTCGTTAAAATTCCTTTCTGCTGGGAACGACTGTGTTGACTGTCTGTGGGGGCCTCAGAAGCAGGCCCAGAGATTTGAGGCACAGACACCGAGCCAGGAAGCTGAATCCCAGCAGGAATCTGAATCCCATCATCCTCATCATCAGAAAACAGCTCAGCCACAACAGGACCCCTGGGGCGGGTTGCGAGGGGGTTTCAAAGGGGTCACCGAAGACAATCAGAAAACATATTTCTGATGGTCTTAGGAACCCCTTTGGTAGAAAAGGCTGAAGATGGCTCGGCCTGTCCTTTTTCGAAACAGTAGGCGAATCCTCCCACCAAAAACCCTCCTCCGCTGTGATTGGCCGACCTCTCAGCTGGCCTCTCAGCCAAGGATACTATTGTTAGAATAAACCATATTTTTAGCATACCAGTCATCGTTTTATGCTAAACAAAATTATGCAATTGTATCCTGTAGGGATTCCATCATGTGTTGCATTCTCCAAAATGGGTCTCTTTGTCTTTGCAGGGTATTTGGTGTATTTCACCAGACCTATGACGATGCACCGTGCTGTCTCCCCAACAGAACCAACACCCCGGTAAATCTATAACCAATTGCAGAATGAGAAATAAGAAATTGGTACAAATATGCAGCAGATTATATGCTGTGGGATTATATTACGGAAAGGAGAATTAAATATACGAAGGGATATGCCAAGGAGAAATGGGACTCAAAATGGAAAGAGCTGATAACACTGTTCTACAAGTTTTCAGTTTTTCTCAGTTACGGAAACGAAATGTGCCGTTTCTTAATAAATTTAACATGCTGAATTCAAATATAATAATTAAATGTGTTAATTGGCTCTGGTTTTTATGCAACAGCTATTTCAATTTTCTCCACAATAGGTAATTCGTTAATATTATGATAATGCGCCTAACCTTACTGCATGTATATAAACTGTGAATATTTACTAAATTTTAGTCAAATTATATTGCCAATAGCTTATACATGAGAAATATTTAATTAGTCTATTGTTTATGTTTGTGCAGCAAGAAACTATATTAGTAGGCCTAATGCAGTTGAAAAGTCTGAAAGTTTAAATGTCACTTTAATCATGACTTTAGTTTCTATCTGCGAAGGAGCTCGGGCCCCAAATTCGGTAAGGGAGGTCTCAGGAGAGAGAAGTTACAATTTATTATTTATTATCCTTAATGGTGCCACCAATTTGGTGATGTGAGGTAATTTTGGGAGATTGGGCACACTAAACGCAGAATTAATGGAGATGAGGCAGTTTTACAATCAAAGAGAACAAGTTTATTTTGAAACAAAGCGTATGGTTGCAGTTTGGTGATAAACTTGGAAAATACTTGGAGAACGTTACATATAACTTGGTTGCGATACAGTACAGACTTCTGATGTTACAACTTATCAATAACTTTTGCTGTGGTGAAGCACTATTAAACAGTGGTTCCTGAGGTGAATAGTCTTCCTGTTTGATCCTTCCGTGATCAAACCTCAGATCTCTAGTTCACTTTTAACTAGTGATCTAAACAAGCTTCTATTAGTCTTCTCTAACTAATAAAACTAATAAGGTTTCCCCTTCAGCCTTCCCGAACTGAAGAAACCTCCGACTATTCACAAACACTGCTTCTCTACTTCCCACTCTCTCTCTCTCTCAACTCTTCACTTCCCTGAGCCTAAACCTAACTCTTCATTCCTCTGAGCCTCAACCCTGACTCTTCATGACTGTGCACTCTTCTGAGCCTAAACCCTAACTCTTCATGACTCTTCACTCCTCTGAGCATAAAACCTAACTAACTTTTTAACTGTCGCTTTTCAAAACTCCCCTCTCTAAGCTCCTCCCACTTCTCTACAGCATTGTTTCCATGGTAACACACTCCTCACAGCTAGGCCGCTCCAGCATTAGCATCGTTTCCATGGTAACACACTCCTCACAGCTAGGCCGCTCCAGCATTAGGGCAACCAGTGTAAACACAAATACAGTTATAATAATATCATTTACAATCAATACAGTTTATAATCATATCATTTACAATCAACTTCTGTACACTATCCTGTTTGCTTCTCTTGACTTTTCTTTTGTATTCAAGGAAAGGATTCCCTCTTCCAATGCTCCAGCAGGAGTCTGACAGCATTGACGGAGTCCATTGGCCTTGATATCTTTTTTCCATAGTGCTTTATTTACACACGTGCGAGGCATAACTACAGTAAAAAGAACAATGTAAAACGATGTTTAACGATACTGTCTCAGTCTTCAACTGACTGACCCTCACCGTTCCAAAGTCTGGCCTTATATAGGGCTTTCTGGCTTTTGCACACGGCACTAATACTGCGTCATCAAACTTTCTAGAATATTCTAGAATCTTCCATAGTGTAAGTCGCAACATGCATTTTTTCAACCATACGTGATCATGTGATTGCTCATATCATAAAAACTAGAGCCAATATACATTTTTACATGTCATTTTTGTTTTCAGCACCCCAAAATCATAAAAGAACAACTATTTTCAGGCCCGAAACTTTTTCTCCATTGAACAGTGTAATCAGAGTAAAATGGAAAGGAAAATACTGAATCAGACCATCTTTATGATCGAACAAATAAAATAATATTTAAAAGAGAGGTACAACTGTTCCCGGATACAGAGGCCTGGCTGTGTTGTGGTTCAGCCAGCTGATGAAGATGAAGGGTTTGGGGATTCAGGGCCTGATGGTTCTGTGGGTGTCCAGAAAGAGGGAGTCTTAGAGCAAGATGGTTTTCCAGCTGAGAGAACGGAGAGGGTTTTGGGGCAAGATGTTGTTGCCGACTGAGAGTGAAACAGCTTTGGAGGCCGACAGGCATGGAGCGGAGGATAACATGAGCTCATCTGAAGAGGCAGCTGGCTTCTCAGAGATACCAGGCTGCTTCTTCAGGGGAGGAAATTCAGGTGCAAGAAAAGGAGAAGGAGAGGCAGAAGCAAGCCTCTCAAGGTCAAAGGAATGTGTTCATGTTTTGCAGCCCTTAAATTAGGGAGAGAGCTGTTAGGATTTTTAGATCAAGCAAGTGAGAAACTCCTGCCTTGTTCCTGGTTCATGCTTTAGCTTAAGGCCCAAGATTTCTACTCAGGTTTTGCTCCTTCCTTTATGGATTTACCTATGGATTCATGCTCTGGTTTTGTTCCTGGTTTTCTGAATTAAATTCCATGTTTTTACTCTTGTTTATAGATTTATCTATTACCTATCGGACTTGTTTTCTTTAGTAACACTTTGATTTTTACTCTATTGTTTGTTTAAGTTGCTTTTGGCCCTTCTGTCACAATGCCAGTGCTCTGCCTTATTCAGGCAGAGATGAACCAAGCAAACACCCAGTTTGTATCAAACAGTTTAATTAGAACAGCACTTACTTTCTGGCTGTTTTAATAATCTATCTAGATATATAAAAATGCTCTGGTCATAATGAGTACCTTAAAAACAAAAGAACCAATGAACGAAATCACACCAAATTTGGCAACAAAACGTCTCACAACACAAGGAGTGACCATCACTCAAAAAAACATGATTTTGTCATTTGGGAGTTATTGTTGCTGGGATTTATAGTTCACCTACAATCAAAGAGCATTCTGAACTTCATCAACGATGGAATTGAACCAAACTTGGCACACAGAACTCCCATGACCAACAGGAAATACTGGAAAGGTTTGGTGGGCATTGACCTTGAGTTTGGGAGTTGTAGTTCACCTACATCCAGAGAGCACTGTGGAGTCAAACAATGATGGATCTGGACCAAACTTGGCACAAATATTCCATATGCCCAAATATGAACACAGATGGAGTTTGGGGAAAGAGACCTTGACATTTGGGAGTTGTAGTCTCTGGAATTCACAGTTCACCTACAATCAAAGAGCATTCTGAACCCCACGAACGACAGAATCGGGGCAAACTTCCCACACAGGCATTGAGCCCCCATGACCAACAGAAAATACTTGAGGCCATCCAATCCAACTCCCTTCATCAGGGCAAGAAAACGTAATCAAAGTCCTCCTGACAAAGCCATCCAGCCATAGATAGATAGATAGATAGATAGATAGATAGATAGATAGATAGATAGATAGGCTTGGGCAATCCATGGTTCTAAATGCTTCTAAAGTACTTACAAAACTAAAGTTCTGGTGGTGAAAATTTCAGAACTCTAACAAAACTCTCAAAATTTCATAATAAATGGCAGTTCCTAATTGGTTCTGTCATTAAAATCACCAATAATGAAATAATAATTAAATTTTGAAAGTTTTGTTAGAGTTCTGAAATTTTCACCACCAGAACTTTAGTTTTGTAAGTACTTTAGAACCATTTAGAACCATGGATTGCCCAAGCCTAATATAGATATGATTCACACACAGAGAGATATAGTATCATAGATTTGAAAGGGACCCTTAAAGAAGGACAATGATATCTTGCATGTTCCAGGGTGGGAAAACCAGACACTCTCCACATCAACACTGACAAAGAAACAGCAACAAATACTGTTTACCCACAAGCATAAAGAAATTACATATATTAGAAACCAACACTTTCTCATTACTTTATTTTCCAGATCACCAGACTGGGCCACAGCAACGCGTGGCAGGGGACACCTAGTCCAAAATATAAAACATAAAGATTTCACTCAGCCACAGAATATAAAACAAAAACACAGAATATAAAACAAATACATAGGGGTGGATGCGTTCGGACAAGTAAGCTGGGCCAGAACCATATAGGACAGTGTTTCTCAACCTGGGGGTCGGGACCCCTGGGGGGTCGCGAAGGGGTGTCAGAGGGGTCGCCAAAGACCATCAGAAAACACAGTATTTTCTGTTGGTCATGGGGGTTCTGTGTGGGAAGTTTGGCCCAATTCTATCATTGGTGGGGTTCAGAACGCTCCTTGATTGTAGGTGAACTATAAATCCCTATCTACAACTCCCAAATGTCAAAGTCTATTTTCCCCAAACCCCATCAGTGTTCACATTTGGGCATATTGAGTATCCATGCCAAGTTTGGTCCAGATCCATCATTGTTTGAGTCCACAGTGCTCTCTGGATGTAGTGAACTACAACTCCCAAACTCAAGGTCAATGCCCACCAAACCCTTCCAGTATTTTCTGTTGATCATGGGAGTTCTCTGTGCCAACTTTGGTTCAATTCCATTGTTGGTGGGGTTCAGAATGCTCTTTGTTTACATGTTAACTATAAATCCCAGCAACTACAACTCCCAAATGACAAAATCAATCCCCCTGCCAACCCCACCAGTATTCAAATTTGGGCATACCGGGTGTTTGTGCCAAATTTGCTCTAGTGAATGAAAATACATCCTGAAGATCATTATTTGCATGGCGATTCATAATGTTAGGGTTATGGTTGGGGGTCACCACAACATGAGGAACTATATTAAGGGGTCGCGGCATTAGGAAGGTTGAGAAACACTGATATAGGACTTAGACCAGTGGCCTGGCTTGAAAAGGCAACTTCCAGCTCTGGGTTTTTGTTTTTGTCGGAATGTCATCCATCGGAATGACTCTCTGGAATGTCCCTTGCCTTTAGATCCCTGTCGGCACTCTCGGCCTACCATAGCGGCCTCATCACTCCCATGAAGATCCGGACAGAGACCCCCGGCAACTTGCGCTTGTATGGCGGGAGCCCCACCCGCAGCGAGAAGGAACAGGTCTCCATCAGCTCCTTCTACTACAAGGAAAGGGTAAGCGTTGGCTTGGCTGAATGTCTCTGCTGCCGCCTCCTCAGTTTTTTTTATCTAGCCAGTAGGGCTGGGCGGTTTCGTTTCGTTAATTCGTAATTCGTTAATAATTCGTTAATTTTTTCAATTACAAAACGATAACGAACCATTCTGGAGCAATTATTAAAAAAAACGAATTTTCAAAAACGTTTTGTAAATGCTTCGTATTTCAATATTGTATTCGTTTCGTTATTGTTTTGAGGTCGTTTCGTTATTATTTCCGCATGTCTGGGCCAGTTTTATGGTTTAATTAGTGAAAAAAAATTATAATATCACACCAACAGTCAACAACAGAGGGAGAGGGAAGCTTCAGAAGGTTTTGGAGGTTTTTTAGCATATTTCGCGGTCGCGTCCGCCATTAACGAATCGATTCGTTATTGTTTCAGAAATCGATTCGTTAATTTTTTACCATTTACGAAATTTCGTAAATATCGAACTTTTTAAAAGGAAAATTTTGTAATTATTTTAAATATCGGAACAAAAAAAACCCCAAATACAAATCGATTTTAGAAACAAATTTTTCCGTTGTTACCCAGGCCTACTAGCCAGTTTTAATTGTTGTTTGGAGATTGTTTGGACTTGAAACTAAAGACAGTGGGCTTATCCAAAGGGATTTTCGTGCCCAAAACTGGAAGTGAAAGAGGGCCAGGGTTGTTGTTATTATTATATATACTCTGCTTTTTCGATATGATAGCAAAATGTGCTGCAAGATGGCCCGCAGCAACAAAGTTTTTGTAGTTTAATTTAAAAAAAAAACCGTGTTTTTGTGATAGAGCCAATTAGGAAATGATGTAGTGTAATAAAATTTATTTATTTATTTATTATCCGCCTCTCCTTGCAGCTTGAGGTGAGGTACAACATGGTGAAAACAGCAAAATGCTATTAAAATACATTGATATTAATACCAATAATAATAATAATAACAACAGCTGAGTTTGCAGTTTCCTTTTACTATCCATATGATAGGGAGCCCCCGGTGGCGCTGCGGGTTAAACCTCTGAGCTGCTGAAATTGCTGATCGAAAAGTCGGCGGTTCGAATCCAGGGAGCGGAGTGAGCTCCTGCTGTTAGCCCCAGCTTCTGCCAACCTAGCAGTTCAAAAATGGAGCCCCCAGTGGTGCTGCGGGTTAAACCACTGAGCTGCTGAAATTGCTGATTGAAAAGTTGGTGGTTCAAATCTGGGGGATGGAGTGAGCTCCTGCTGTTAGCCCCAGCTTCTGCCAACCTAGCAGTTCAAAAACGGAGCCCCCGTTGGTGCAGTGGGTTAAACCCCTGTGCTGGCAGGACTGAAGACCAACAGGTCACAGGTTCGAATCCGGGGAGAGCGTGGATGAGCTCCCTCTATCAGCTCCAGCTCCCCATGTAGGGACATGAAAGAAGCCTCCCACAAGGATGTTAAAACATCAAAACATCTGGGTGTCCCCTGGGCAGCGTCCTTGCAGACGGCGAATTCTCTCACACTAGAAGTGACTTGCGGTTTCTCAAGTCACTCCTGACACGACAAAAAAAAAAAGTTCAAAAACATGCAAATGTGAATAGATCAATAGGTACCACTTTTGCGGGAATGTAACGGCGCTCCATGCAGTCATGCTGGCCACATGACCTCGGAGGTGTCTATGGACAACTCTGGCTCTTCGGCTTAGAAATGGAGATGAGCACCACCCCGCAGAGTTGGACACGACTAGACTTAATGTCAAGGGGAAACCTTTACTTTTACTTAGGATAGAGAGGGCTGATATGGAAGCCCTTTTTAAGAAAAAGGTTTCAGTGACTGTGACCAGTAACATCCTCGTTCGTTTCACAATGACTGTGGGAAAAGGGCATAATACCTTCAGCTTGCCGTCTTTGCTGCCTTGCAACGCAGAGTCCCTCGGAGTTTCTCAGCTGTTGTGTTCTTTTCTCCCTCTCATTTTCTCGACGGCTCTCCGTCTTCCTTCCTTCCTCCTCCTCCTCTCCTTCCTCCTGCCCATGCGCAGACGTCTCCTTGCTCCGCCGGACGGCGTTGGTCCATACAAGCCATTAATGACTTTCCGGTACTATATGCGGTATTACTTCTGCCCTTGACTGGCTGTGTGTGTTGCCTGCGGGCCCAAGAATAACCTGCCACTGGCCTGGCTTTGTGTAACCTTGGGGTCAGGGAGGAAGGGTTAAATCACTGTGCGTAGCAGGCCTTACTTGAACCGGAGCCAGCTGAAACTCATATAATGGCTTGAGTTCTGGGCCAGGAGTTCAGGAGGCCTTGGGCAAGTCATTCTCTCTCAGCCTCAGAGGAAAGCTGTGGCAAAAGCAAACATCTTCTGAAGATATCTTGCTGGGGAAAACTCTAAGTAGCATTTGAAATATAGTGTTGGACAGAGTCCTGTGGAAACCTTGGGCTGCCAAAAAAAGAAAAAAGTCAGTGTATCCTCAAGCAGATGAGGCTGTCGCAACTCAGGATAGATTCACCTTGCTCAGAAGAACACCACACTCCAAGGCTGCAGATTTTGTAGCTTATTGAAGAAAAAGCAAAGTCAAAAACATAGAAAGAAAGTTGCAAAAGTTCAATAGCCAAAACAGAGTCTTAGATGCAAAGGCAAAGTTTCTGAGATCCAAAGGCAAATAACATGAAGTATAATCCACAGGCATGAATCAAACTAGGATCCAAGGTAGCATCACATAGGCCCCAGAAGCCAAGGTCAAAACCATAGGCCCAAAGAGCCAAAGCTTTCCCCAAAAGCCAAGGCAATTCCATAGAAGTTAACAGGGTATAAGCAAAGTTGCACTGACAAAAGACTGCCTTCAATCAGATCGTTAAATACGTTTCCCAAGCATGAAAGCATTACGGTGCCCTCTAGTTTCCCGTTTGTTGACAAGTCTAGCGCTTTAGCGCACTCTTAATTGTAAACGATCTTCTCTAATCAAATCTTTACCACCTTCAAGGTTGGATACCTCATTATCCTGAAACTGGTCGCCCTGGGAACCGAGAGGCCCTGAGCTCCCAGAAGGAGCAGACGACTCCTCCACCTGCAGCTGTGGAGTTGGAGTTTCACTTAGATCATGACCATTATCTAAAACAACATTCCTTTCTCTGGGGAACAGAAATGCTGTCTCTTCTTCACTGTCTGCCTCAACAACAGGGCCATGTACAGAAATCTGTAACCCATCATCCTCGTCCTGAGGGAACTCAGGCTCAGAAAGCTCAGACTCAAACTGAGCCACAACAGAGGCCTGACTTGTTGCACTCCAGAACAGGAAATGGCCCCTCTGACTATAAACACACCACACGTTGAGTGAAGGAACAATCCTTTTTATTAAAGCTTAGCAAAAAAAGCCAGTAGAAATAAATGCTTGTAAAGATAGGTAAGATTCCAAAAAAGCAATAAGGCATTTAAAGGTAGGAAGAAGGCACAATGTCCATACGTAGCATTCAAAAGCAATGTTCAAAAAGCATAAAATAATATTCCAAGGCACTTATAATCCTGACAGGAATCAACCAAGAAGCAAGAACAGACCAGACGCTACTAGTTGAGTTGAAAGGCTAGAAAAAACCATGAAGACGAGATCACTTGAACAGGAATTTCATGAGGCTTGTGCTTGGTTTCCAAATGATGCCTGATCTAACAAGATTCTCTAAAGGCAAACCTTAAATCCCAAGAACTGGTTTCGTTTTCCCCCAGTCTTTAACTTTAATGGACAAATTCTTTTGGATCTTTGTAAACATTGGGCCTCTTGTCCATTCTGGCTAATCTCCAGCTGTTGACTCTGCTTATCTTACTCCTCATTAATTTTAGCAGATGTCAGACTGTTTTCCAAACTAGAATCTGGAGAAACATTCTCATAAGAATCTGCCCTTTGCACCGAAGCATCTCTGTCAGCATCTGCATGAAACTCATTGACCAAAGTGTCTCCATCTTGCACCTCAGAGTCAGTCCCAGCATCCCTCACACCAGAAGCAACAGGGGACTGATTTCCCTCCTCATTATCCACATCAGACACAGAAACATCAGGAGACTGAAACACATTCACAGGTTCAAGCACAGGCTCAGGTTCAATCACAGGCTGAGTCCCAACATCACTCTTCCTGGGAGCCCCAACAAGGTTATTCTGTTTGGCCATAGGATCAAAATGCAGTTGGAAGAAACCACATGGACCACCTCATCCAACCCCTATTTCTGCCATGTAGGAAAAGCACAATTAAAGCACTCCTGACAGATGACCATCCAGTCTCTGGAAGAAACCCTAATCCGACCCCTATTTCTGTCATGCAGGAAAAGCACAATCAAATCACCCTGACAGATGGTCATCTAGCCCCTATTTATAAGCTTCCAAGGAAGGAGCTTCCACTGAGCTCCAAGTCAGAGAGTTCCATTGTTGAACAACTCTTACAGTCAGGAAGTTCTTCTTAGTGTTCAAGTAGTGTTCAAGATGAGGCTGTGAACCATACTAGTTCTTCCGGACCACTTGTGGTCCACAGACCACAGGTTGGGAATCATTGTATTAGAAGAAAGCAACATAGCACCCCCTTTTCCTGGGTAGACATTGCATCATCCTAAAGGACATGCACACTGTGAGTTAACACCAAAATTTCTCGTGATGAGGATCTTGTAGTGATTTGTAGTACAAGTTTCTAGACCCAGCCACACATCTCCTGTCTGTGAGCGTGGAAAGGGACCTTGGGAGTACCTTGAGACATCCCTTTTTAAAACCCGGCTCCTTGTGCAAAGGCATCCGAGGTTGCCACAAAGCAGTCGTTGGCTTATTCTTGGGCTGGCTCCGTGTTCCTTTTGGTTGCAACTGCTGCCCCTCCCTGTGAATGTGATAGCGCAGGCGTAGGCTGTTGTGCCTTCATGACTACATCCATGCCCCTCTTCTGTGTTGCCCCTGACGCTTAGAAAAGCACCAGCTTTGTCTGTGAGCTCTGTGGCTTTGTGGCTGCTTCTCCTTGGGCAACTGGGTGTGCATCCAACTCTTGTCTGCTTGTATTTTCCTCTCCATGGAGAAGCTGGCTCTTCCTCCTTAGGGCTTGTCTTGTGAGAATGGGGAACCCTTGGCTATTGGGGCCACTTGCTACAGAGCTGCGGCCTCCAAGAAGAGACCAACATGGGCTTCTGTGCAAGGCTGAGCAATTTCCCTTTAATAATAATAATAATAATAATAATAATAATAATAATAATAATAATAATAATTTACCAGGTGATACCTGTGTCTTCTCACAAAATCCTGGTATTTACAGTTTAGGGACTCTCTAGAGCAATGATTCTCAACCTGTAGGTCCCCAGATGTTTTGACCTACAACTCCCACGAAATCCCAGTTTCTGGGAGTTCAAGGCCAAGACATCTAGGGACCCACAGGTTGAGAACCACTGCTCTAGATCATAGAATCCTAGAGTTGGAAGAGATCTCATGGGCCATCCAGTCCAACCCCATCATGCCAGGAAGCAGGAAAATTGCATTCAAAGCTCCCCTGACAGATGGCCATCCAACCTCTGTTAAAAGCCTCCAAAGAAGGAGCCGATGCCACACTCTAGGGCAGAGAGTTCCACTGCTGAACAGCTCTCAGAGTCAGGAAGTTCCTCTTAATGTTCAGGTGGCATCTCCTTTCTTGTAGTTTGAAGCCATTGTTCCAGTTGGAAGAGACCTCATGGGCCATCCAGTCCAACCCCATCATGCCAAGAAACAGGAAAATTGCATTCAAAGCACCCCTGACAGATGGCCATCCAGTCTCTGTTTAAATGCCTCCAAAGAAGGAGCCTCCACCACTCTCCGGGGCAGAGAGTTCCGCAGCTGAACAGCTCTCACGGTTAGGAAGTTCTTCCTACTTACTTAGGCGATAACTCGTAGTCCGAGGATGATGGTCCTCCAAGTGTAGTATCCTGGCGGTGGGTACATAGGTGACTGTGGAGCCCTATTCTTGATCTGCATCTTCTCCCACAGTGAGGGCATCGGTTTCCAGGTGGAAGGTGGTCCCGGTCACGTTTCTCCCTTTCACCCTCCATTCGTGCCTCTTCAAATTCTGCAGCACTGCTGGTCACAGCTGACCTCCAACTGGAGCCCTCAAGGGCCAGAGCTTCCCAGTTCTCAGTGTCTATGCCTAAGTTTTTAAGGTTGGCTTTGAGCCCGTCTTTAAGTTCTTCCTAATGTTCAGGTGGAACCTCCTTTCCTGTAGTTTGAAGCCATTGTTCCATTGTGTCCAGTGCAGCAGAAAACAAGCTTGCTCCCTCCTCCCTTGGACTTCATCTATCATGACTATCATGTCTCCTCTCAGCCTTCTCTTCTTCAGGCTAAACATGCCCAGCTCTTTAAGCCGCTCCTCATAGGGCTTGTTCTCCATACCCTTGATCACCTGAGTCGCCCTCCTCTGGACACATTCCAGCTTGTCAATATCTCCCTTCAGTTGTGATGCCCAGAACTGGACACAATATTCCAGGTGTGGTTTGACCAAGGCAGAATAGAGCATGGGGAGCATGACTTCCCTGTATCTAGACACTAGACTCCTATTGATGCAGGCTTTTTTTTGCCACAACATCACATTGTTGGCTCATGTTTAATTTGTTGTCCACGAGGACTCCCAAGAGCTTTTTCACACGTCCTGCTCTCGAGCCACGCGTCCCCCATTCTGTCTCTTTGCATTTCATTTTTTCCTGCCTAAGTGGAGTCTCTTGCATTTGTCACTGTTGAACTTCATTTTGCTAGATCTCAACAGAATACCTTTACTCTCATTGTGCATCGTACAACGAAATTAAATGCCACCCCCCAATCACATATATGTACAAATTACAAAACAAAAGCACTCATCCTTCCACCTTTTAGTAGCTGTTGCACAACCCCATAATGCCACATCAGTGTGAAACCACAGGGTTCAATATAGTCACCGTGTTAGGATAAAAGCTCTTTCTCAGCCTGTTCTTCCTCGTTTTTATACAGTCTTGCCAAAGAATAATATCCAGGTTGAGATGGAGCCTTAATTATATTTTGAGCTTTCTTAAGACAGCGGGAACTGGACAGTCCTTCCAAAGAGGGGAGATGAGAAGGTTGTTGTGTCCCTTCAGGTTGGTCTGACTTACGACAACCCTAACCTGTTCAACAGTGGGGCCCTCTGCCTTAGAGTCCAGTGGAAGCTCCTTCCTTGGAGGCTTTTTAACAGAGGCTGGATGGCCATCTGTCAGGAATGCTTGGTACTTTTCCTGCATGATAGGGGATTGGACAAGATGGCCCATGCGGTCTCTTCCAAGTCTATAGTTCTATTATTCTAACCTATCACAGGGTTTTCTTGTCAAGGTTTGCTCAAAAGGGGTTTGCATTTGCCTCCTGTCACGTTGCCAGGGCTCTGCCAATATTTAGGCAGAGATGAACCAAACAAAAACTCAGTTTGTATAAAACAATTTAATTAAAACAGCACTGACTTTCTGGCTGTTATAATAGTCCAAAATATAAAACATAAAGATAGCACTCAGAATACAAAACAAAAACAGCAAACACTGTTGCAGGTTCAAGATAACTCCGTAGTCAAAAGGTCCAGTCCAATGGTCAAACGCCCAAGAGTTCAATAAACAAAGTCCAGGGATCAAGAGTCTATAGCGTAGTCAAAAGCCAGTCCAAAGGTTCAAGGTTCCAGGGTTCCAAAGGTTCAGGAGACAGGTCAGGATACTGGAAATCCACAAACCTGGGGGGAAACCAGCAGCATCTACCACCAAAATAAGACAAATACTTTTCTCCCGAAGATCAGTCCCAAGCCTAGCTCATTATATCTAGAAACACCCAGCCATTGTTTGCTTAAGTTGCTTTTGGCCCTTTTGTCATGATGCCAGGGCTCTGTCTTATTCAGGCAGAGATGAACCAAACAAACACCCAGTTTGTATCAAACAGTTTAATTAAAACGGCACCCAGCTGCAACCAATCTCTTGCATACCTCCACCCTTAATTACTTTCACGCATGAACTCTTACTTACAGATTACTCAACCCTTTAGAACTAAGACTGGCATTAACGCTTCCATAACCAACTGCTAGGCCTACCATCACCAACCACCACCAACTGCAGAACATGATACATGACACCTCCCTCTGAAGCTGAGATAGTGTGACGTTCCGATTGTAATCCAGTGGGTTGCCATGGCAAAGCAGGGATTCGGATCCTGTTTGCCAAAGCAGTAGTCCAGTATTCAAGCTATTATATTACACTGACTCAAGTATTGGTTCATCAACCAGAGAACTCAGCCATGGCAGAGCACAAGGAAGAAAGGAGAGAAAGAGGGAGGGACGGAAAGAAGGAAAGAGAGAAAGAAGGATGGAAGCAAAACACGAAAGAAGGAAGGAAAGAGAGAAGGAAGAAAGGAGAGAAAGATAAAGGAAAAGAAAAGGGGGAAGGATGGAAAGAGGTAGAGAAGGAAGGAAGAAGAGAAGGAAAGAAGGAAAGGGAAGGAAAGAAGGAAGAAAAGAGGGAGTGAAGGAAGGAGGGAAAGAAGGAGAGAAAGCGGGAGAGAAGATTGGCCACAGCAATGCGTGGCGAGTACAGCTAGTTATATTATATTTATATTATAATATAATTTTACATATCACTATATTTATTATTATTTATTTATTTACAGAATTTATATTCCAACTTTCTCACCCCGCAGGGGACTCAGGGCAGATCACAATGCACATATACATGGCAAACATTCAATGCCATAGACACACAACATATATAGACAGGCACACAGAGCCTAGTTAACTTTCCAGCTTCATGAGGGTATGCTTGAATTCTGGCCACTGGGGGAGCTGTCCCTTCACCATCCACTTGCGATGCCGATGGAGTACTTCCTCATTCTTTTGCACGCTGCTGGAGATTTTTATAGCGTCGTAAATTAGTTAAATTAGCCTCCCCACATAAGCAGTACCTAAATTTCCTACTTAACAGATACAACATTAAATGCCGTTTATTTATTTATTTATTCACAGTATTTATATACCACTTTTCTCACCCCTAAGGGGTTTCAAAGCGGTTTACACATAGATAATGGCAAAAATTCGATGCTTTACAACTACAATATTTTAACCACACTTTAAACATAAATCATATTAAAACAGTACATTACCAAATATCAAAACAGTTATTAAAACTATAAAACAATCTCATCAGTTGAGTTCAGACATATAACATATATAGACAGACACAGAGGCATTTAACACTCCAGCATTTTGGCTGCATGAGGGTATGCTCGAATTGGCTTGATTGCAGCCACAGTGGGAGATGCTGCGTCACTGTCCATTTGTGACCCCGAGTCCTTTGATGGAGTACTTCCTCATTCTTCTGCACGCTGCTGGAAGGTTTTATGTTGTTGTGAATTAGTTAAATTATCCTCCCCGCATAAAGCGGTACCTAAATTTCCTACTTGACAGGTGCAACTGTCTTTTGGGCTGCTAAGGTCGACAGCAGGCTAGACTAATGGCCGGAAGCTCACTCTGACCTGGGCTGGCTTTGAACTCATTAAATCAGTAGTGATTTAATGCAGCTAGCTTATCAGCTCGCTGCACCACAGCCCTTAAATTTCCAGGTAAGGCTCACTTGCTTCTCCCACCATGATGGGCTGGGACTCCTGGCAGTTAGTTAGTTATACTGATGACTTGACTCAGTATAAAGCAATTCCTTCCATTTCTGCTTCAGTTGCCTCCTGTCCTCTGTCCGTAAATCCCTCTCTCTTGCTGCTGTTTCGACTCCCTGCTTTGGAGTCCCATCTGTGTCTTAGCTACTCTTGTCTTTTTGGATGGCAGAGCTTTGAGGGATGCAGGCTGCTGTTTTTCCAAAGCTTGGCCACTCTAAAAGAAGGCGCTGAGCTCCATCTTTCTTTGCTAACCACCTGTCCCATCCCTGGCAGAAATCGCGAAGATGGAAGAGCAAACGGGAAGGGACCGACGCCAGCAACCGGCCTATCAAAGCCGCTGGGAAGGTGATCATCCAGGACATCTCTTGCCTGCTCCCGGTCCACAAATCGCTCGGGGAGCTGTACATGTGAGTACTAGGCCTGGGTAACAACGGAAAAATTTGTTTCTAAAATCGATTCGTTTTTGGGGTGTTTTTGTGTCTCGTTATTTAAAATATTTCCGAAATTTTCCCTTTAAAAAGTTTGATATTTACGAAATTTCGTTAATATTAACGAATTGATTCGTTAAGATGGCGGGCGTGGTTGCGCAACGTGAAAATAATAGTTTTAACCTCGGAGAAGGAAAGTGGGGGGAAAGAGAGAGAGAGAGAGAGGAGGGGTGAAATCTCTATTCCGGTTTGACAATGCTTCTCTCAATAATAAAAATATTGACAAAACACTTTCTGCCTCCGTGCATGGAAGGCACAGTGAAATCACTACTGAAAGATGGCCATCCATTCTTAATAATAATAATAAATATAATAAATATTATAAATATAATAGTTTTAACCTACAGAAGGAAAGTGGGGGGAAAGAGAGAGAGAGAGGGAGGAGGGGTGAAATCTCTATTCCGGTTTGACAATGCTTCTCTCAATAATAAAAATATTGACAAAACACTTTCTGCCTCCGTGCATGGAAGGCACAGTGAAAGCACTACTGAAAGATGGCCATCCATTCTTAATAATAATAATAAATATAATAAATATTATAAATATAATAGTTTTAACCTACAGAGGGAAAGTGGGGGGAAAGAGAGAGAGAGAGGGAGGAGGGGTGAAATCTCTATTCCGGTTTGACAATGCTTCTCTCAATAATAAAAATATTGACAAAACACTTTCTGCCTCCGTGCATGGAAGGCACAGTGAAAGCACTACTGAAAGATGGCCATCCATTCTTAATAATAATAATAAATATAATAAATATTATAAATATATATATATATTATTTTCATATACTCACGGGGAGTGGGTGGCTGGGAGTGGAGTGAGGAGGTAGAGGAGGAGGGAGAGGTCTCCCCCGGCTGCTCTTCCTCCCCGCCCCCACGCGGCCTGAGGAGGAGGAGGAGAAAGGGTCGGAGGATTGGAGGAAGGAAGGGATGGAGACGGCAATGACAGTCATAGCCGAAGCCTCCCTCGCAGGGCCCCTGCCTTCTTCCCTAAAGCTCACTCTGGAAGGAAAGGAGCCCCTTCCAAAGGAGGAGGAGGAGCAGCAAGCATCGCCATCTTAGGTATTTCCGAAATGGACGGAAATACGAGAATATTTGGCGCATGCTGTTTCGATATTTAAAATACACTTCCGTGTTTGAAAATAATTTTGATATCGTTTCGTATATTGAATATTAACGAAAAACTTAACGATATACAAAATTAACGAACGACATCGCCCAGCCCTAATAGATAATGTTGTCCTAGCATTTTGGCAACTTCAGATAATTTTTTTCTTCAGGCATACTGAATATTGATGGTATTGATGGTGGATCTTGCATTATGCAAACCATTTATCCTAACACTGAGTCAAGCAAGTTACAGTGTTCCCTCACTTATCGTGGATGTTCATTTCCAGGACCACCCGCAATAAGTGAAAATCTGCGAAGTAGGGACATTATATTAATTTTAATATTTATACATTATTTTAGTACAACTCAGAAAGGAAAGCTGATGTGTGGGTCGGAACTCCCTCCGCTGCCTCCTCTTACGAATGTTTTTAATCTCCCTAATTAATAATAATAATATTTATTTATTTGATCAGTCATGTGACCATTTCAAAATAGAACACGAGTAAAAAACAAGGCAACAAGGTGATAAGTCAGAATCTTATTTTCCTGGTTCTTCTTTCAGGAAATCTGCTCTTTTCTTAATCGCTTTCAGAATAAAAAGGCTTACTCTAATGATGCTGGATCTTTCCTGCCCTTGCAAGAGAGATGTCAGAATATCATTTCTGTTGGGGGATCTGCAGTTGGATAATACTGGATGTAAATATCTGTCTTGCAGTTCGGTGTATGCTGGACAGTCAATTAAGAAATGTTCAATGTCTTCCACTGTTTGTTCTCCCCAGACGCAGAACCTCTCACTTCTTGGGATGTTACAGTAGCACCCGGTTTGCACCATAGTACCGAGTTGTTCAAACCTAGCCCTAGTATATATTCTTCTTAAGCGTAGAGGAAGTAATAGTTAGGTAGTGCTCTAAATGAATATTCCTTTTGTGGGAAGCTAAAAACCTTGTGGCTAAAGACCTACCTATGCCCTCTAGGTCCAGCTGTGCATAGACATCCCGAATGCGCCGCTTGAGCACTTGCCCTGCCCCCGGACCCAAAACACCCAGAAATTGCAAAGGCAGACCGAATCCAGCCAGCTCATTATTCAGAGCCGCCATCCACGATGACTTCTGGTCATGCTGGACTTGATCCTCTAGACATAGGCGAGGAAGTCTACTGGGATCCATAGAGTTTACTTTTGACCAGTAATTAAACTGTCTCATTAAAATTTGAGCTTTGACTGGGAGTATTCCTAGCTCAGCCCTTACTGATGCCGTCAGCGTTGTTCTGGAAAGTCCCAGGAAGGTGCGAAGCTGCTTCACTTGGAAGGCTTCAATCTTTGCCAAATTGATGTGCCCCCAAATTTCAGCCCCAAATATAAGTGCTGGCATTATTTTTGTTTTAAAGACTTCCAGGGCAGGTCTGATTGTGCCTGGGTATCTATGATGGTACAGCTTATAAATGGAACCTGCTGCTTTCGTTGCTCTTTGTATATTATGAGTAATGTGGTTAGCCCAAGCACCAGACGAAGAGAACATAATGCCTAGATATTTGTAGCAATTAATTTGTTCCAAATGTACGCCTTTCAGGACCACGTGTACCGTTTCCTGTTTTTTCCAAAGACTATAATTTTGGATTTATCCTTGTTCATAGTGAGTGAATTTAGCTCACAGTACAAATTGAATTTTGCCAGGGATCTTCTTAGTCCCACTGGAGATGTTGCCATAATCACCATGTCATCAGCGTAAAGCAGGATGTTAATAGTTCTGGACAAAACTTTAGGGCCATGTAGACTGTCAGAGGTAATGAGAAAGTGTTGGTTTCTAATATATATAATTTCTTTATTCTTGTGGATAAACAGTATTTGATTACCTTTTCTTGCGCTGGTGAAGGGAGTTGGGCTGGATGACCTTAAGTATTTTCTATTGGTCATAGGGGTTCTGTGTGGGAAGTTTGCCCCAGTTCTATTGCTCGTGGGGTTCAGAATGCTCTTTGATTGTAGGTGAACTATAAATCCCAGTAAATACAATTCCCAAATGTCAAGGTCTATTTCCCCAAAACTCCATTTGTGTTCCTAGTTGGGCATATGGAATACTTGTGCCAAGTTTGGTCCAGATCCATCACTGATTTAGTCCACAGTGCTCTCTGGATGTAGATGTACTACAACTCCCAAACGGAACGTCAATGCCCCCCAAACACTTCTAGAATTGTCTATTGGTCATGGTAGTGACCAGTGTTCACATTTTGGCGTATTGAGTAATCCAGTATTTTCTTTTGGTAATGGGAGTTCTGTGTGCACGTTTGGTTCAGTTCCATAATTGGTGGAGTTCAGAATGCTCTTTGATTTTAGGATAACTATAAATCCCAAGAACTACAACTCCCAAATGACAAACTCTTTTGTTTTTTTAGTGATAGTCACTCCTTGGGTTAGTAGGTGTCTTGTGGCCAAATTTGGCAGCAATTCGTCCAATGGTTTTTAAGTTATGTTAATCCCACAAACGAACATTACATTTTTATTTATATAGATTTTAGCATAGTGCATAAATATTAAAATTAATATAGCATCCCTACTTGGCAGATTTTCTTTCCCACGCTTTCTTACCTGTCACATAGTGTTATTTAGCTCATATCTCCAAAGGGAATGGTGGAAAGAAATTGGTGGTTCCACGGAAGACAAGGGGGAGAGCTTTGGCCTTATCCTCTTTTCCACCGGTTGTCTTTCCTTGTCCCTCCCAGACTCAACGTGGCTGACATCCAGGAGACCTGCCAGAAGAACGCATCCTCAGCGTTGACCGTCGGGCGGAGAGATCTCTTGCAGGTAATAACTGCCTGGGGGACATTCTGCAGTGAGAAGCCTGTGTCAGGGAAGGACGTCTCTGAACCCCTTGCATTTCTTTCCATTTCTGGGATCCTGGCACTTTGTCGTTTCACCTTCTTTATTTGTATTTTTATGTTCATTTTTTTTAATTTGTTGTACTTTGCCTCGAGTCAACAGGAGAAACTAACAATAATAATAATAATAATAATAATAATTATTATTATTATTATTATTATTATTATTATTATTATTATTATTATTATTGTTATTAGAAACACAAGATGAATCCACAGCAGACACTCTGCTGGCTATTGTATTAGATCACACGTCGGACACTTCCCAAGTGTCTAGAGTTGTTGTTGTTATGATGATGATGATGATGATGATTATTATTATTATTATTAGAAACACAACAAGATGAGTCCACAGCAGACACTCTGCTGGTTGTTGTATTGGATCACACGTCGGACACTTCCCAAGTGTCTAGAGTAGTTATTATTATTATTATTATTATTATTATTATTATTATTATTATTAGAAACACAACAGGATGAGTCCACAGCAGACACTCTGCTGGCTGTTGTATTGGATCACACGTCGGACCCTTCCCAAGTGTCTAGGACTGTGTGATGTATCGGCAAATAATGATCCCAGGAAGGTGGCCTTTTGCAGCTGGCAGGTGGTAATTTTGTCAGCGCCGATTGTGTTTAAGTACAGGCCAAGGTCTTGAAGCACTGCACCCAGTGTGCCGATCACCACTGGGACCACCTTGACTGGCTTGTGCCAGAGTCTTTGCAGTTTCATCTTTAAATCCTCATATTGTGTCAGCTTTTCCAGTTGTTTTTCTGCAATCCTGCTGTCACCTGGGATTGCGACATCGACAATCCATACTTCGTATTTTAACATGATTGTGAGGTCAGGAGTGTTGTGCTCCAAAACTCTGTCTGAATCCGGAAGTCCCAGAGGAGTTTGGTCTGTTCATTCTCTGTAACTTTTTTCGGCTTGTGATCCCACCAGTTCTTTGTTGCAGGCAGATGGTGTTTGTAGCACAAGTTTCAATGAATCATCTGAGCAATGGTGTTGTGCCTCTGCTTGTAGTCTGTCTGCGTGATCTTCTTGCAGCAGCTGAGGATGGGATCTATTGTTTCCTCTGCTTCTTTGCAGAGTCTACACTTGGGATCTGTCACTGACTTTTCAATTCTGGCTTTGATGGCCTTGGTTCTAATGTCTTGTTCTTGGGCTGTCAGAATCAGGCCCTCCTTTGTCTCCTTTTTCAGACTTCCATTTGTGAGCCACAGCCATGTTTTTTCTTTGTCAATTTGGCTCTCAATATTTCCCAGGAACTGTCCATGGAGAGCCTTCTTTGGTCAGTTTTCTCTTCTGCTCTGGATTGTGTTTTTACGGTATTCCCTCTTTGTTTTTTGCACTTGAAGCAGTTTACTACTCTTGACTTCCCTCAATGTTGGTTCTTGACTGCCTTTCCCATCATCTGCCCGGGCGTGTTTCTCTTCTTCTACCGTTGGTCTCCCTTGCAGAAGCCCTGATTTTCTGGGCAGGTCAAGTCTGTCGACATCACTCCACAGGTGTAATGAGTAGTGGATTGTCATCAGTTTTCTTGCTTTTTCTGTCCAGATCATCCAGCTCTGCTTGTGTCCAGTTCACAATGCCAGCCATGTATCTAATAATGGGGATGGCCCAGATGTTGAGAGCCTTGATCGTATTTCCACCATTTAATTTGCTCTTCAAAACCTTTCTGACTCTTTGAATATATTCTTTGCTGACCACATTTTTCACTTGCCCATGCTTGATATTGTCCAACTGTAGGATGCCCGGATATTTATAGGCTTCAGGCTGATTGCATTTTATGGTTTGTCCATGCTAACCACCTGCCATATATATCAGCATTATAGAAAAATGCTGGTGTACGAGCTGAGGATGAAGTGTCCTTTTTGGGATGCAGCCCCATCTTCTCTGTATGCGACCGCATGTGGCTGTGTGTCATCCAAAATGGCTACGCGTGTCAGTGCTGACACATGTGTCATAGGTTCGCCATCATGGGTCTAGGCCGAACTCCATACTGATGTCAGTGCTGAAGACTCTGACTGTGTTGGTCAGTGACTGGGTTTCTGTTTCTGATTTTCCATAAAGCTTTAGATCATCCATGTACAGCAAGTGGGAAATTTTTGGTGAATTTCATGCTGTTTGGTAGCCCAGGTTTATTTTCTGTAGAATGACTGAGAAAGGGGTCACTGATGACAGTGAGTCACCCTGGAAAATTCCTCTCTTGATGTTAACAGTTCCATAGCTTTCGTTCCCCACGAACAACTCAGTTTTCCAATGTTTCATCACATTTTCAGTGAATTTTCTAATATTTTCACAAACCCCAATGACATCTAGACATTTGATAATCCAACAGTGTGGCAGTGAATCAAATGCTTTTTTGTAATCAATCCAAGTTGTATAGAGGTTTGTTTTGCAGCTTTTGCAATTCTCCAGTATCATTTTGTCAATCAAAGCTGATCTTATTTATTATTATTATTATTATTATTATTATTATTATTATTATTACTACTACTATTATTTTATTCCAGGTCTGGTCACTGGCCACGGTAGCCACCGACCTCTGCCTCGACCCGAATTCCGACCCAGACTTGGAGACCCCTTGGGCCCAGCATCCGTTTGGTCGCCAACTCCTGGAGTCTTTGTAAGCCTCTATGCCTTAGAATGAATCCACTTTAACTGCCTTGGTTTCATGCTATGGAATCATGGGGGCTGTAGTTTTAAAAGGCTTAGAGCCTTCTCTGCCAAGTAGTGCAGATCTCTCACCAAACAACAAATCCCAGCATCCCATAGCATTGAGCTGTGACAACTAAATTACAGATGACATCCCCCAAATAGAAACTCTAAGACAGTGTTTCTCCTGACACCCCTGGGGGGTGTCAGAGACGTCACCAGAGACCATTGTTTTTCCAATCAAGGTGCAGTGTTCTCCCATCTGAATTGCTGCGTGGGAGATTTGCAAGTACCCCATATAATGAAAGACTCTGACCATGTAACAGACAGAAAAGTGTTTTATTTATTTTATTTATTTACAGTATTTATATTCCACCCTTCTCGCCTTGCAGGGGACTCAGGGCGGATCACCATCAGAAAACACAGTATTTTCTGTTGGTCATGGGGGTTCTTTGCGCCAAGGTTGGCCCAATTCTATCACTGGTGGGGTTCAGAATGCCCTTTGATTGTAGATGAACTATAAATCCACGCAACTACAATTCCCAAATATCAAGGTCTACTTTCCCAAAACTCTACCAGTGTTCGTATTTTGGCATATTGAGTGTTCATGCCAATTTTGGTCCAGATCCATCATTGTGCACAGATCCATTGGTCCAGATCCATCATTGTGAAGTCCACAGTGCTTCCTGGGTGTAGGTGAACTACAACTCCCAAACTGAAGGCCAATGTCCACTAAACCCTTCCAGTGTTTTCTGTTTGTCTGTGTACCAAGTTTGGTTCAATTGCATTGTTGGTGGAGTTCAGAATGCTCTTTGATTGTAGGTGAACTATAAATCCCAGCAACTACAACTCCCAAATGACAAATCGACCCCACCAATATTCAAATTTTGGCCAAGTGATTTAGCCAAAATAAGTGAGTGCTAGATTCAAGTAAATACATTGGCTCCCCTCTTCAGTCTACCATGTCCCTCAGCTGTCCTTCTTTCCTTTCTAGCTCATAAGCCCAGATGTTGCAGCCTTTCCTCATGGCTGTTGTTCTCTCCTTTGCAGGGTGGCCTATTACTGCCAGCTCCACGACGTGCAGACCCTGGCCATGCTGTGCAGCATCTTCGAGGCCCAGGCCAGGCCCCAGGGATCCCTCAGCCCCACTGGACTCCTGCCTCAGCGCATCTCCAGCCACAGCCGATATGTACGGGTCAATTTTGTCGCTTCCCTCCCTTCCCTTCCCTTCCCAATCTACGTCTATTCCACCTGTGATGCTGTTTCCTTTCTCTCCCGGCAGCCCAGCTTCACCTCCTCAGGGTCTTGTTCCAGCATGTCAGACCCCGGGCTTAGCACCAGCAGCTGGAATATAGGTAAACTGATGACACCTTTTCCATCAGGGAGGTGATCTTGCATCTTCCCATTGGTCCTAGATATCTCACTTCCCATGATTTATTTGTTTGTATCATAGTGTACATATTTGGCATGATAACAAGTTTAAGGTTCTTTACTTCTTGGCACTTCTGCACATCTACCCATATTTGTTTGAGTCTAATGCACCATCAAATCTAATGTGCACCTCAATTTCTAAATCCTGTTGCACCCCAGCCTAGGGTTCATCTTGCTCAAGTACTTACCAGGAAGCCACACATAGTAATAAACAGTTTATTGATAAAATACAGAAAAAAAGTATAAAAAGAGAAAAGAGTCCCAAAAAGCCAGAGATAAATCTCCAATGCAAAGGTTAAAGCATGATCATTAATCCAAGGTACATGGACCAAAACATGAGCTTGATTAATCCAAGAGACCAGGAACGAAACATGAGCTTGAGTCCGTGGTAAAATCCCCAAGACTGGTAGAAAAACTTGACTAGGAAACTTGACTTGAAGCTAAGATATCAACAGGAACAAGGCAGGAGCTTCTTACTCCATTCGCAATGTTGCTTGATCTGAAACCGAAGAGCTTCCTATCGTTAATTAAGGTCAGCAGTGCATTCTGTTGGCCTTGAGAAGCCTGTCTCTGGCTCTCTTTTCCCAGGCCTCCCTTTCCCATGACTTGGTTTGCCCCTGGAATTCTTCCTCCGCAGGAGCAGCCTTGATTCTCTGTCCAACTCCCTGTGTTAGATGAGCTCCTGTCCTCCTCCCTTCTCTGCCTGTCAGCTTCTAAAGCAGTTTCATTTTCACACAGAGAATCAACATCTAATTCCAAATCCCCTGTTGCACTCCAGGTCAGGAAAGAGCCCTCTTACTCCAAAACACACCACACAAAGAGTGAAGAAGAAGAAGAAGAACTTTATTATTCTACCCCGCCTCCATCTCCCCGAAGGGACTCGGGGCAGCTTACATGGGGCCTAAGCCCAGGCAGAATACAATTAAAATAAAGCAATAACAATTAAAACAGCATAAAACAACATAACAAAAATAGCTAGCAACAATAACAGCAGACTAATTTTGGAGGGGGGGGGGGAGAAAAACCACTACATGAACTAGTTAAAGGATAAAGTGGTTTAGTAAGGTGGATAACAATGTATAACGGCATAGGAAAAACTATGGAAACAGAGCAAATTAACAGGATCAGTTAATATAATATAGGAAGCTTTTAAACAGGCTGGATGGCCATCTGTCAGGGGTGATTTGAATGCAATATTCCTGCTTCTTGGCAGGGGGTTGGACTGGATGGCCCATGAGGTATTTTCCAACTCTTTGATTCTATGATTCTAGGACATCAGATAGAATGACAGTTCAAGTCATGATACAGGCCATTTGTCATAGGAGTCGTCAATCGAAAGCACAACGAAACATCCACGTCTTTAATTCCTTACGGAATGTGGCTAGGGAGGGTGCCTGCCTGATCTCCCTAGGGAGGGAGTTCCAGAGACGGGGGGCACCACCGAGAAGGCCCTCAATCTTCTTTTATTGAAACTTAGTAAATAGCCAGAAGAAATAAATGCTTGTAAGAAAATAAGATAGTTCCCCAAAGTAATAAGTCCATAAAAGGTTTATTTCATACTGCAGTAAGAAAGGCGGACAGCCGACATACACAGTGGTAGTGCCGATTCCAAAAAAAGGAATGTAGATGGAAACGTTTGGCCATCTTGGTTGTCCTTTGCTTCATAAGGCAACTCTTTGACCCCAGCAGCAGTTAACAAAGAGGCGGAACACACTCCGGCCTGGTGCGAATCATCGCCCGAAGACTTCCGCTTTGGGAATTTGGCCTACGCTGACCACCGAGATCGAGAGAAGGACCAGCACGACAGGAACAAAAGGTTGGAAGGGGCCCAAAGAGCGTCACTTTCCCACATCTGGCAAAATATATCCTCTGATGCTCTAGTGAGACTCAATGGCAGGCCTACACAACGTTTGATCCCTCCAGGTGTTTTGTGCTTCAGCTCCCGGAATTCCTGACCATCGGACAAGCTGAAAATAGAGGCTTCTGGGAGTTGGGAGACCCAAGCGCCTGGAGATCTACATGTTGTGCACACCTTTTCCATGGCAATGCCTGCCAGATATTCATTTGTGTAAATATACTTTAATGTATTGTTGAAGGCTTTCATGGCCTGAATCACTGGGTTGTTGTAGGTTTTTTGGGCTATATGGCCAAGTTCTAGAAGCATTCTCTCCTGACGTTTCGCCTGCATCTATGGCAAGCATCCTCAGAAGTTGTGAGGTCTGCTATTGCAGTAAATATGGTTTACCATTACAGTGAAACCTTGACTAAGAGTGTCCCAACTTTAGACCACTCAAGGAAGGTCCAAAACCCCTGGAGGGTCAAAGTTTGCCTATGCCTGCCATGGGTACAGTGCTCTTCAGCTTCCATTTCTCCTGAGACAGAGCTCTGCCTTCCTTCTCCAGGCTTCTGGATCCAGCCAACGCCCAGCAATTTGACGACTTCAAGAAATGCTACGGAGAAATCCTATATCGCTGGGGCCTGAGGGAGAAGCGAGCCGAAGTGCTCAAGTTTGTCTCTTGCCCCCCGGACCCTCACAAAGGCATTGGTAAGTTACGGTTCGGCATCCGACCCCCTTGGAGAAAGGCATATTTTTATGGCATCCACGAAGTGGTGGTGGTGGTGGGGAGGGGGGGGGGGAGACAGAAGAGAGAAATGTCTTCAAGTGCACAGTAGAGTATTGTCTTATTTATGGGGAAACTATTATTGTGTAGGTTTTGTTGGGAAAGTGGGCTTATTGACAAAAAATCCTCCTCATAAACGTACAGCAGAGTAATTTATCAGCATCAGCGTGACCCAGCACCAGTAGTCCAAAGTGATAAAAAGAACAAAAACACACAGACCAATGTTCTCTCTTCCTCAGGAGGCTTTTCTTTATGGCAAAATAATCTGGTTGCACTGTTTACAACAGTGGTTCTCAACCTGGGTTCTCAACCCAGATGTTTTTGGCCTACAACTCCCAGAAATCCCAGCCAGTTTACCAGCTGTTAGGATTTCTGGGAGTTGAAGGCCCCCTGAAGACGCAGGTTCGCAGCTTGGGAGTGATCCTGGACTCGTCGCTGAGCTGGAACCCCAGGTCTCGGCGGTTGCCGGGAGAGCTTTTGCACAATTAAAACTTATGCGCCAGTTGCACCCGTACCTTGGGAAGTCAGATCTGGCCACACTGGTCCACGCTCTCGTTACATCCCAAATAGACTGCTGCAACGCACTCTACGTGGGGTTGCCTTTGAAAACTGTTCGGAAACTTCAATTAGTCCAGCGGGCGGCAGCCAGATTACTCACCGGAGCGTCATACAGGGAGCATACCACCCCTCTGTTATGTCAGCTCCATTGGCTGCCAATCCAGTTCCGAGCACAATTCAGAGTGCTGGTTTTGACCTACAAAACCCTATACGGCTCCAGCCCAGAGTATCTGTCCAAACGCATCTCCCTCTACGTCCCACTTCGGAGTTTTAAGATCTTCTGGGGATCTTCTGGGGAGGCCCTGCTCTCGGCCCCACCTCTATCACAAGCGAGATTGGCGGGGACAAGGAGCAGGGCCTTCTCGGTGGTGGCCCCTCACCTGTGGAATTCACTCCCCGGAGAAATTAGATCAACGGCATCCCTCCTTTCCTTTAGAAGGAAATTAAAAACATGGATTTGGGACCAGGCGTTTGGGTAATCTGGCAGAGAGATAAAGGACAGTGACGACTAGAACTGATAGGAATTGACAGTGTGGAATGAATTTATGGATTCTGAGCTGGCGAACGTTGAGCATGAGATTGGCTTTATTGATTGTGATATTTAACTGATTTTTAACTGTTTATAACTGTTTTAATTGCTGTTTATATATGTTTATTTGTACTATTGCGTAGGCATTGAATTGTGCCTTTTGTAAGGCGCCCTGAGTCCCCCCTCGGTGGTTGAGAAGGGCGGGGTAGAAATACGCGGAATAAAATAATAATAATAAGGCCAAAAACATCTGGGGACCCCAGGTTGAGAACCACTGGTTTACAAGAACAAGGTTTCCATGACACAAATAAAGTATACTTCCTTCTTTGCTTCCACGCCGGGCTTCTTTCTTATGCTCATAAACAGCTTCGCTCTCACAGAGCCTCTTCTCACACTGGGGCTTCTCTCACCAAAGCCTCCCACACACTGAGGTGTTCTCATACTGAGGCAAGCTATCACTGGTGTCATACTCCAGAGCAGGAACACCTCTGACCTTAAAGACCATGCCAGCTTGGTAAAATCAGCAAGCAGTTTATTATGGAATATATGTAGGCAAAGCAGTAAAAAATAGTAAAAGTCCAAATTCCAAGATTTATTTATTTATCGTGTCATCAGCAACCATACCATTGTGTTACATTTCTAACAGAACAAAACAAACAAACAGATAAAAAAACACAAATTTTGCACACTTGGTAGTTGATTAAATGTCCTTTGGCCAGTATCTGGCCACTTGAAGTGCCTCCGGTGTTGCCGCAAGGAGGTCCTCCATTGTGCATGTGGCAGGGCTCAGGATGTATTGCAGCAGGTGGTCTGTGGTTTGCTCTTCTCCGCGCTCGCATGTCGTGGATTCCACTCTTGTGGCCCCATTTCTGAAGGTTGGCTCTGCATCTCGTGGTGCCAGAGCGCAGTCTGTTCAACGCCTTCCAAGTCGCCCAGTTTTCTGTGTGCCCAGGAGGGAGTCTCTCATCTAGTATCACCCACGGATTGAGGTGCTGTGTTTGAGCCTGCCACTTTTGGACTCTCGCTTGCTGAGGTGTTCCAGCGAGTGTCTCTGTAGATCTAAGAAAACTATTTCTTGATTTAAGTCGTTGGCGTGCTGGCTGATACCCAAACAAGGGATGAGCTGGTGATGTTACTGCCTTGGTCCTTTCACTATTGGCTGCTACTTCCCGGCAGATGTCAGGTCATGCAATACTGGCTAAGCAGTGTAATTTCTCCAGTGGTGTAGGGCGCAGACACCCGGCGGCATGTCTCATTAAGAACCACATCCACCAATCTTGCCACAAATACTCAATATACCCAAATGTGATCACTGGTGGCGTTTGGGGTAAACAGACCTTGACATTTGGGAGTTGTAGTTGTTGGGATTTACAGTTCACCTACAATTGAAGTGCATCCTAAAACGCAGCAACAATAAAATTAGTCCAAACTTCTCACACACAAGCTCCATAACCAACAGAAAATATTGTTTTTTGATGGTCTTTGGTGACCACTCTGACACCCGCAGGGAGGACGCCACGCCTGCCTTGCCCCCTCGCCGAATAGCGGGAGAGCGAGGCAGGCGAGGCGAGCTTTGCGCAGGCCAGGCCCACACAGAGGACGCCTCCCCTGCCCCCCCCCGCCGAATAGCGGGAGAGTGAGGCGGGCGAGGCAAGCTTTGTGAGGGCCAGCCCCCCACGGAGGACGCCTTGCCTGCCTCGCCCCCTTGCCGAATGGCGGGAGAGCAAGGCTGGCGAGGCAAGCTTTGCGAGGGCCAGGCCTTGCGCGAGAGAGACCTTGCCTGGCCCGTGCCCTTAGGGCGGGGCCAACGGAGGTGGCCTCGCAACCCCTCAAAAATGGCCAAGCGACCCCCCTGGGGGCCGCGACCCCCAGGTTGAGAACCGCTGATTTAACCCTTTCAGTGTTTGACTCACATTTTTTGCCACGGTGGCCCACGCTCTTGTCACATCCCGGCTGGATTACTGCAACACACTCTACGTGGGGTTGCCTTTGAAGACTGCTCGGAAACTACAACTAGTCCAGCGAGAAGCAGCCAGATTGCTCACCGGAGCGACGTACAGGGAGCATACAACCCCCCTGTTGCGTCAGCTCCACTGGCTGCCGATCCAATTCCGAGCACAATTCAAAGTGCTGGTTGTGACCTACAAAACCCTATACGGTTCCGGCCCAATGTATTTGTCCGAACGGATCTCCCTCTACGTCCCATCTCGAAGCTTAAGATCTTCTGGGGAGGCCCTGCTCTCGACCCCGCCACTGTCACAAGTGAGGTTGGTGGGGACGAGGAGCAGGGCCTTCTCAGTGGTGGCCCCTCACCTGTGGAACTCACTCCCCAGGGAGATTAGATCGGCTTCCCTTTTGGCGTTTAGGAAAAAACTGAAGACCTGGATCTGGGATCAAGCCTTTGGTCATTCTGACAGCTAACTGAAGGATCTGATGATAGACAAGGACAAATGGAATGGAATGGATATATGGACTCTGAACCCTGAGCATGAGACTGTTTTATTATTTTATTATGTACTGATGTTTTTAATTAATTGTTGAATTGTTTGTATTTGTATTGCTTGTGAATTGCCTTGGGCATCTAATTGTGCCCCCACTGTAAGCCGCCCTGGGTCCCCCTCGGGGTGAGAAGGGTGGGGTATAAGTAAATGAAATAAATAAATAAATAAATAAATAAATAAATAAAAATACCTAATTAATTTTAATATTTCTGACAGACCGAGTCCCTCTCAGCATTTTTTCCTTCTCCTCTCTCTCGGCAGAGTTTGGCGTCTACTGCAGCTACTGCCGCAGCGAAGTGCGGGGCATCCAGTGCGCCGTCTGCAAGGGCTTTGCCTTCCAGTGCGCCATCTGCCACGTGGCCGTGCGGGGCTCCTCCAACGTCTGCCTAGCCTGCGGTCACGGGGGGCACACCAGCCACATGATGGAGTGGTTCCGCACCCAGGAGGTCTGCCCCACGGGCTGCGGGTGCCACTGCCTCTTGGAGAGCACATTCTGACCCTGCGTCAGGACAACTAACCTCAAGATGGGGTCTCTAGTAGTGGGGTCCCTATTGAAAAGCCACAGGTGACTCTGGCTTCCTTGGGTCCTTAGGAGGCGATCGGGTCGGGTCGGGTGAGTGGTGGTCTTGGGCGCTCTGTGGGGATTTCCTGCCTCAAGAAAAGCCGTACGAGAGGCAGCCATTGCAACGGGGACGGACCAAAGCTAATTAGGTCTATAATGTGATGTGGGAGGATCAGGGTAGACCCCTAAGTCAGTGGCCACACGTGGGATGGTATTAGTATCACTCCTTCCTAAAACTGCCTTTTCCTTGGCCTTTGGAACTTTTTGGTATTTTGCAGGGATGGAAGGACCAAAGCGGAGACAGCTTCCTTTTCAAACATGATGTCACTTCCTTTTTTGCCATTCCTTCCTGTGAAAATGTGTGACGTCGGTGTGCAAAATGCGAGCGTTGCGGCAGAAATGTCATTTCTCTTCCATCAAAATAGCTCAATTGACAGAACGTCGTGGGTCTGCACGATCCGTTCCCTTTTTTTGACAAATCATGGTGATACCTCAGTGACTTAGGGCACGTGTGTGTGAGAGAGAGTGTGTATGTGTGTGCTTTTGCCCCTGTTTCCAAGGGACGGTAAAAATTGCAGGATGGGAATCGACCAGTTTGATGCAAACGGGGTCTGAGAACTCAGAAAGCACCCATGATGGTTAGGATGAGTTTTTGATGCTGAAATGCTTTGTAGTTTTGTTAGAGGGAGCCTTCTTCTAACAGAAAATTCACAAAAAGAATTATTTTTGTACAAATCTGGGTTCAAGATCTTTCAAATTGGGTCTGGAGCTTCTGAATCTGGACTTGCTGAGCTCCTCAAGAGCATGGAAGCTGCCTACGGTGTCATTTCCAAAACGTTGTAGTTGCGGGAGTGTGTTGTGTACATTCTGTAATAAAATGAGAGCTTTTTTCTAAAGCTGCCTGGCTTCTCCTGCTTTGCTTGGCAACATGGCTAAAGAAAACCAAACTTGGCACACAGAACTTCCAAACTGGAAGGGTTTGGTGGGTATTGGACTTAAGTTTGGAAGTTGTAGTTTGGAAGTCTTGGCCACACTGCCCTCTGTGGCCAAGATAAAAAGTGCAAATAACATCCACCATATAAGGGACAATCTGCAAATTTGTGCTGTTAATCTACCAATAACTGCATACATTGTCTTCATCACGTAGATTACCACTTGTTCGTCTGAGATCATCTTCACCCAAGACGGCCAAGAAGAACCGGAGACCTGGCCCTGGGTGCCGGCTTGTTTGCTCCACGGGCCCAGGGACCTAGGTTCTTTGGTGCGAACTGTCTGTCTTGACTGAGTAGTCGGAAGTGAATCCATTTATAGAAGACAAAATCTTTGCATTATTGTGCATTTTAGAACTATCTCAGCACGAAGTCACTTTAATCTAAGCACTTTAGATCCTGCTAGAACCCATATCATTACTCTAAGCACTCTAGATCTTGCTAGATCCTATACCTCTACTAAGTGGTCCAAAATCCCAGGTCAAGTGGTCATAGCCATTGCACTTTATGTTCTGTTCTTGGGTTCCTGTTAACTGTTAACATCAGCATACTACCTCTAGGTCAATGTTTACTTTACCTTTGCTGCTATTGATATCCCTCCAATTTCCAGCGCAAGTGCACTTTATAACAACTCTAGCACAAGTGCACTTTATAGCATTAACACAAGTGCACTTTACAGCTTGTTCAGCGCAAGTGCACTCTATAACAACTTTAGCACAAGCACACTTTATAGCATTAACACAAGTGCACTTTACAGCTTTTGCTACACTGGAAGGAATAGATAGCATTAAGAGGTGGGAATATTGGGACCCAGAGACGGATAATCAGCGCTATGAGTATGCGTCCACTATTGAGATTACAACTGCTGGAAATGGAGGGAACGTCCCCGGGGGGGGGGGGGGGGGCCGCCATAGAGGTGGTGACTGGCAGAGGGAGATACGGGAAAGGGAGTATAAAACAACCATTTTGGCCCAAAATTTTTAATAACAAATTGGCAACCTCTAAAGATCCTAGAAATCAAAGACAAAAGCAAATTCGGCCCCAAATTCTCAATAGGACATTGACAACTCCAAAAATTAATGCTACTATTCGGCCCGAAACTAATTATAACAATTTGACATCCCCAAAATCTACTCCTGACAAAATACAACTGAGGTGCCAGGATGGTGGCCCCTCCAAGCTAAAGGTGGTGCTGTTCAATGCCAGGTCGGTAAATGGAAAAATCTTCTATCATTCAAGATCTAATCCAAGAAGAACGAGCCGACCTGGCTTGTATAACGGAGACCTGGTTGGACGAGGGGGGAGGGGTTAATCTCTCCCAACTCTGTCCACCAGGTTATTCCGTTCAGCACCAGCCAAGGCTTGGAGGGCGGGGAGGCGGAGTCACAGTGGTCTATAAGGACTTTATTCCACTGATCAAGTGTCCCATCCCACAATCATCTTCCTTTGAATGTGCCGGCTTCAGGATAGGTGACCGGGACAGGATAGGGATTCTGTTAGTGTACCGACCACCCCGCTGCACTACAGTCTCCCTACCTGAGCTAGCGGGAGTGGTCTCGGACATGGCGTTGAGCTTCCAACGGCTCTTGGTCTTGGGAGATTTCAACGTCCATGCCGAGGCCCCTCTTTCTGGTGCGGCTCAGGACTTCATGGCCGCCATGGCAACCATGGGCCTGTCCCAACTAATATCTGGTCCCACCCATAGTGCCGGGCACACTTTAGATTTGGTTTTTGTCCAGGGATGGGATGAGGGTGACGGGATGGAGGAGCCGACCATCGCCCCATTGCCATGGACCGATCACCACCTGATCAGTTTTAGACTAACTGGGCCTCCTAACCTCCGCAGGGGTGGTGGACCCATTAGTAGGGCTGGGCGGTTTCGTTTCGTTAATTCGTAATTCGTTAATAATTCGTTAATTTTTTTAATTACAAAACGATAACGAACCATTCTGGAGCAATTTTTTAAAAAATGAATTTTTAAATAGTTTTGTAAATGCTTCGTATTTCGTTATTGTATTCGTTTAGTTATTGTTTTGAGGTCGTTTCGTTATTATTTCCGCATGTCTGGGGCAAGTTTTATGGTTGTTTTTTGTTTAATTAGTGAAAAAAAAATTATAATATCACACCAACAGTCAACAACAGAGGGAGAGGGAAGCTTCAGAAGTTTTTGGAGGTTTTTTAGCGTATTTCGCGGTCGCGTCCGCCATTAACAAATCGATTCGTTATTGTTTCGGAAATCGATTCGTTAATGTTTTGTAATTTTTTTCACATTTACGAAATTTCGTAAATATCGAACTTTTTAAAAGGAAAATTTTGTAATTATTTTAAATAACGAAACGCAAAAACCCCCAAAAAACGAATCGATTTTAGAAACAAATTTTTCCGTTGTTACCCAGACCTACCCATTAGAATGGTCCGCCCCAGGAGACTTATGGATCCAAATGGACTCCTGACGGCTCTTGGGGATCTTTCCACCTCCTTGGCTAGTGATACTGTCGATGCTCTGGTCTCTCGTTGGAATAATGAGTTGACCAGGCAATTGACACTATCGCTCCGGAACGCCCCCTCTCGAGTAACCGAGCTAAACCAGCCTCTTGGTTTACCGAGGAGCTGGCAGCGATGAAGCGAAAGAAGAGGAGGTTAGAGTGCGTGTGGCGCCAGAATCCCACCAATCCAGCCCAAACACACCTGAATGCCTTTTTAAGGTCCTACGGTGTGGCAATAGCGGCAGCTCAGAAAACATTCATCACAGCCAATATTGCATCAGCGAAGAATCGTCCAGCGGAGCTTTTCCGAGTTGTCAGGGGCCTGTTAAATCCGCCAAAAAGCGAGGCCTCGGACAACTCGGTGGCTCGCTGTGAAGCATTTGCTCGATCCTTCGCGGATAAAATTGAGCGGATTCGGTCGGGTTTTGACGTCATGTTAACGGCAGTCTCTGGGGATGTAACGAGAGCATCTGCTTGTCCAGTTTTGTTGGATTCGTTTCAATTGGTTCAGCTTGAGGATGTGGACAGGATCCTTGGAGAGGTGCGACGCACCACATGCATCCTAGACCCCTGTCCTTCCTGGCTGATCAAGGAAGCCAGAGGGGGTTTGGCAGAGTGGGTGAAGGTGATGGTTAATGCCTCCTTACAAAGGCAAAATTCCAGCGAGCTTAAAACAAGCTATTATAAAACCGCTGTTGAAGAAACCATCACTGGATCCCACTCAATTCGACAACTATCGGCCAGTTTCCAATCTCCCCTATTTGGGCAAGGTCATGGAACGTGTGGTGGCAACACAACTCCAGGGGTTTCTGGTAGACACTGATTATCTAGACCCAGCACAGTCTGGCTTTAGGCCGGGACATGGAACTGAGACAGCCTTGGTCGCCTTGGTAGATGATCTACGCAGGGAGCTAGACAGGGGGAGTGTGTCCCTGTTAGTTCTGCTGGACCTCTCAGCGGCCTTCGATACCGTCGATCACGGTATCCTTCTGGGCCGCCTCATGGATATGGGGCTCGGAGGCACTGCTCTGCGGTGGCTTCGATCCTTCCTTGAGGACGGACCCAGAAGGTGTTATTGGGTGACACCTGTTCGGCCCCACAACCGTTGTTGTGTGGAGTCCCACAGGGTTCAATCTTGTCCCCGATGTTATTTAACATCTACATGAAGCCGCTGGGAGAGATCATTCGGAGTTTCGGACTAAGATGCTATCTCTATGCAGATGACGTCCAAATCTGTCACTCCTTCTCACCTGTCACCAAGGAGGCTGTCCAGACCTTGAACCGGTGTTTAGCTGCTGTATCGGACTGGATGAGAGCTAACAAATTGAAATTGAATCCAGACAAGACAGAGGTCCTACTGGTCAGTCGTAAGGCCGAACAGGGTATAGGGTTACAGTCTGTGTTAGACGGGGTTACACTCCCCCTGAAGACGCAGGTTCGCAGCTTGGAGTGATCCTGGACTCATCGCTGAGCCTGGAACCCCAGGTTTCCGCGGTGGCCGGGAGAGCTTTCGCACAATTAAAACTTGTGCGCCAGCTGCGCCCGTACCTTGGGAAGTCGGATCTGGCCACGGTGGTCCACGCTCTTGTCACATCCCGGTTGGATTACTGCAACGCACTCTACGTGGGGTTGCCTTTAAAGACTGCTCGGAAACTTCAATTAGTTCAGCGAGAGGCAGCCAGATTGCTCACCGGAGCTGCGTACAGGGAGCACACCACCCCCCTGTTGCGTCAGCTCCACTGGCTGCCGATCCAATTCCGAGCACAATTCAAAGTGCTGGTTTTGACCTACAAAACCCTATACGGTTCCGGCCCAGTGTATTTGTCCGAACGGATCTCCCTCTACATCCCACCTCGAAGTTTAAGATCTTCTGGGGAGGCCCTGCTCTCGACCCCGCCAGTGGCACAAGTGAGGCTGGCGGGGACGAGGAGCAGGGCCTTCTCAGTGGTGGCCCCCCACCTGTGGAACTCACTCCCCGGGGAGATCAGATCGGTGACTTCCCTTCTAGCGTTTAGGAAAAAACTAAAGACCTGGATGTGGGACCAAGCTTTTGGTCATGCTGACAACTAACTAAAGGACCTGTCGATAGACAAGGACAATGGAATGGAATGGATATATGGACTCTGATATATGGACTCTGACATGAGATTGTTTTTATGATTTTATTAGGTATTGATGTTTTATGTTAATTGTTGAATTGTTATATTTTGTATTGTTTGTTGTGTGATTTGGACATCTAATTGTGCCTTCCCTGTAAGCCGCCCTGAGTCCCCCCCGGGGTGAGAAGGGCAGGGTATAAGTAGATGAAATAAATAATAGATGAAATAAATAGTTCACCTACATCCAGAGAGCACTGCAGACTCAAACAATGATGGATCTGGACCAAACTTGGCATGAATGCTCAGTGTTCCCAAATGTGGA